GGATCCCTTTCCATCTGAGCTCCAACACTTACAGTGATTACCTCAATCATGCATGTACAATACAGCAGATATAAATCTCTCTGTCTCTCTCTCTATCTCTTCCAGACAGGGTTTCTCTGTGTAGTTTGGAGACTGTCTTGGAACTCGCTCTGTAGACCAGGCTGGCCTCGAACTCATAGAGATCTGCCTGCCTCTACCTCCTTAGGGCTGGGGCTAAAGACATGTGCCACCACCAGGCTACATCTAAACTCTTTGTAAAGTACATCTGACACCTTCCATAAAGATCGGTTCTGTAGATTGAGAAAAACAATCTTATGATAAGGGTTTGGGAGAGGGTCCGGTGTGGTCTCTGCTGCACAGCCCAAAGGTCATGAAGCTAGAATGCATATCTGCTCCCAGCTCTGAGGGGATAACAGGCAAAACATCTCTTCCCTTGAAGTTTGTTCACATTCCAGGTGCTCCTAGTGCTCATCTGTGAACCCAAGAACCTCGGTGCCTCCTACAGTTGGTGGTCTTTCTTAACGTGGGGTCATCCAGGTTTTTTCCGTTGTAAAGCTACCGTTTACCATTTGCAATTACTAGGAAACTTGGGGAGAAACTTTACAACTGTGTTAAGATACAGTCTCCCAAACAGGAGGATATGTAGTTCAGTGCTTTTACCTTAACTCAGCGTGAGTGAAACCCTGGCTTCCGTCTCTAGAACTTCAAAGCAACTTGTCACTTTTTAGCCCTGTTTTTAGTACCCATGATTTTCATGTTCAGCAGCGATTATTCAAATGTTTGCCCAACAGGAGACGGTCTTCTCTTCTATCATTTTTTTCCCATATTTTATTGACGGGAATGAGAACCTAAAGGTGAGCTCTCCCTTTCACCATTTATATTCTTTTTGAGATTCTGGAAAGTATCACTTTAATTTAGCGCCAAGTTAGTCTCTAGCCCATAGCATGGAGTAATGGCTTAACAGTAGGGATTTAGAGTGGTCAGGAACCGACCTGGCTAACTTCATTTCCGTCTTAAAAGAGTTTTCCTAAGTCTTACATACTTCTACCTCGGTGTCAAAACAGACTTTGCCAACATCTTTGGTCCATGGCCATCGACACAGCTCTGTAGGGCCGATCCAACGGATCCGGACCACTCTATGGAATCCCCAAACTGGCTTCTGTCTCCCCTTTTTTGACATCGAGGATAGGAAGCACAGCGAACAGATTTTTAGTCATTAGACCTTTGTGCTTGCAGTGTGGTGATGCTGCAAGTAAAACTCCTTTCCTGCCCTCAGCATCGCGCTTCTAGTAAGGTGACTTTCTGGGATGAGTGGTCCAGCTTAGTCCTGGGGACGACCCAGGTCGGAGCTTCGTTGTCATCGGCACACGCAAAAATGACTCTTGAGCTCCACAGAGATGGGCTCACAGACGAGCTCCCAGCGTTCCTGGCACTCCCGCGCTCCCCGGCTCCCGGCAGGCCCCGCGCGCCCCTCTCCCGGCGCTCCCCGCGGCCGCAGCCCTCCGCGCGCCTAGCCCCGCCCGGGCCACAGCCGTTAGTTAGCTCCTCCAGGCTTGCGCCTGGTCCCGCCCACGCGTCCGCCACGCGCCTCGCAATTGGGCCGTGCGCGTCTCGCGCCGCCGATTGGCGGCCTCCTCAGCCCGCTCCCGTCTCCCCCAATGCGCGGCGGCCGTGCGACGGGATTGGTCGCGCTGCGTTAAGGCCCGCCCTCCTCTCGCCCGCGCGGCAGCGGGTCTCAAGAGCCGAGGGCTAGCGAGGGCCTTCGCGGGTTGCGGCGGTGCCGGGGCGGTGAGGGTCGGCCGGCTGTGGTCGGGCTGCGGGCGGCTCGGGCAGGTCGCGGGCGCCACAGGTAGGTGCGGGGCGCGAGGGGCGCCCCGCGGGCGGCGGGTGCTGCGGCCTGGAGTGGCTGCGCCCTTCCCTTCCTCCCCCTATCCCGGGCGAGGCCGCAGGCCGGGGCTTGGGGCGGGGCGCGGCGCGCGAGGCGGGCTGGGCCACGCGGAGTCGCGGCCTTTGTGCAGCGGTGGCCGGGCCCAGAGCTCAGGCGTCGTGGACGTAGGGTGCTGTCGGCCTGGTAACGAAGCCCCTCGGCTGGTGGGCCCGAAGCCATCGTCTCGCCTTCTGGCGGGAGACGTGTGGGCAGGGACACCTCTGTCCTGAACTCTGCCTGTTTCGGCTGTTTGGAAAAGCAGAGAAACCCTCCAAGTTTCACCAAATTGTCCGTGGATGAAGTGTCGTGTAGCTTATCAGGATGTGGTTTTACAGTAACAATGAAGGTGGTAGAATAAATGGGAAGTGGCAACCTGTTGACAGCGATACCTGTCAAGTAGTATCACCCAGTGGACTTGGGTTGCTACATGGTAGGAATTTGATTTGCCATCTTGCATGCTTGCATGTACATCGTTGCCGGATGCAAAGATGTCCTATCTAGGGTTGTTGACTTTTGGAAGCCAATCACTAGGAGGGGCCTACAATCTACTGGCTCAAACTGGACTCCCAGCATTGAAAGTGGCTCAGTCCCTACTGTAAGCCACCACTAACCAAAGGGAATGAATGGCTGGTCTAGTGAGTGTAGCCTGTAAGTTCAGGAAAAGGATTTTTAGGGTGACAAAGGAATTGATGAGGTCATACTGCCTTTGGGTTGGGCAGGGCGCTGCAGCTGTAGCGTTGGTCACCACAGCTATATCCCTATGTCAGTCCAGCAAGTAGGAGTTGTCCAGATGTGTTGGGTAAGCCCCGTGTAGCCAGAGTAGCCAGCTGTGGATGTGCTGCTTACTCACCGTCCCATTGGCAAAGCAAGATCTGCATCCACAGGTTCAGTCAGCTGAAGAGCAGTGAGGCTGAAGGCCAGGAAGGGCTACCAGTTGGATTCTGCATGGCCAGGGGCCAGGCACTTCACAGTGGTTGTTGCAATTTGACTTTGTAGGAAATGTGATTTTGACTGGTTTGGGCCTTCTGTTGTCATCCTTTCCCTCCCATGCGATCGCTTCTAGTTTTCACATCAACTTTCCTTGACATCTTCCAAGTCTCCACCTCCAACACCTCCTTTCTGATTGCTAACCTCCTGCTTCTAGTTGTTCTTTTCACTTTGTCATGGATTGCTTTGACGACAAGTAGTTTGATCCAAGCCAAGCTGCAGCCACAGTCCACGCCAGAACAATCCTTATGTCTAAAGTCACCTTGGTGCCTCTCTTAGGTCTTCATGCATTTCTCAGCAAACCTTGCAACCTGTTTCAACAGCAGACCTTTTCTCAGAAACTGCAACTTAAAAGTTCTGGGCCAAGCTACCTGGTGAGCCTTTAATTCTTCCCCCCTTTCAAATTTGATCACCAGTCTCAGCTTTTTAGTAGTTTTTCTGGACACAGAGGAATTCTTTTAATTGCAAGATGTTATAAAACTGAGTTAGTACAGACATAGGCCTGCTTGTTTGGGTGGCAAAGGAGTTGTACCACTTCCTAGTTGTGTGACCTTGAGCAAGTTGTTTAACCTTTCTGTCACAGTGCTAGGTGAGTTGCATAGTGTCCTTAGCAGGGCCTGTGTGAGTGAGGGTTAACTGCCATTGCTACCCACGGACCAATGATACCACTGTTTTGACCCCTTCTGTGCAATATCTTGTTTCTCAAGTAAAAAAGATAAACAAAGGCTTACTGACACTTTCCTCATGTACTACCCTAGCTTGGCCACACCATGTCTCTGCCCCAGCGTCTTGGCTTTTCCTCTAGGTGTCTTCTACAATGACCTCCTTTTGCCCTTGTCAACACCTGGCTCTATCTGTTTCATCTTTAGGTGGGTACTGTTGGAAACTGCTTCCTGCTTCCCAGCTTTTTCCCTCTTGCTTTGTTTTAGCTAGAATATTTGTCAGCATATGACATCATAGATACTTTTCTTGTTATTATCCGTCTTCCCAACTGGTAAATTAGCTCTATGGGGCAAGTGTTTTGTCTACCTTGTGCTTAACACGTATTAGTGATGTGTGCCTTATGGAAGGCATTCACCAAATAGTTGATTAATGAATTGAGTAAGCTTACAGAGGGAAAAAGTCAGAAAGTTTTCTAGGACTGTCTGCTGCTGAGTCTAAGAGTTAGGCAATCCTGCTACTGCAAGATGTGTACCTACCCTTTTTCAGGGCCTCAGGGTCCCACCTGTGCTGCTGTGTATGTCTTTAAAGCCTCCATTGCCCTTAACACTCACTAATGTCTTCATTTATTGTTTTAGTTTTGTAGTTCTACACTGACTTCTTAGCTCTTAACATGTAGTGTGCTTCCCCATCCTGTACTACTCTTTGTCTCCAACTCCTGACTCTTTGAGTCTTCTTCCCAATAGCATTTTCTATCTGAGAAAGCACAGATTTGACTTCCTATGGTCTCTGCACACCTAACAGACCCTGTCCTGGTCTTATTTAAGGTGTGTTAGAACTAAGTGTTGACTTATCTGTTGTTTTCAGTGGTCCTTTGGTTGCCAGGAAACTAACTTTGCCCCTCTGATATCCCTTCTGGCTCCTTAGTGATTGCTGTTCTTTTCAGTCATTTCTAAGCACCTTTGATGGCAACACCTTTAGAGAGATAGTTTGTTAAATTCCCATTGAGTTGAAAACTGCTAGGCTATTATAGGTTCTAGGAAATAAAGTGATAGTATAGCTTGACCTGCCAGCTATGTCCAGGCCACAGGGTCCTTGTCTCTTGTTAGTGATAGCACCTCTCGGAGTAGACTGTAAGTGAATATTTAAATGAGTTAATTTAACCTAGACAAGCCTCTGACTTTTAGGTTGTACCTTCAGCAAGGCATAACCACCACACTTAATTCCTTTACTGTAAGCTGCTTATATAGATGATGTCTTCTGTCTCTTGTCCTCTCTGGAGTCTTAAGAATGTGAGTTGTCGGGGCTGGAGAGATGGCTCAGAGGTTAAGAGTACTGGCTTCTCTTCCAGAGGTCCTGAGTTCCATTCCCAGCAGCCACTCAGAACCATGTATGGTGGGATCTGATGCCCTCTTCTGGCATAAAGGTGTACATGCAGAGAGAGCACCATATATATAAAATAAAGAAATCTTAAAAAAAATTGTGTAGGTGCAACCAAGCTGTCACCCATGGGCATGGTCATGTGTGTATATCTGCACCTGTACCAGTGTGCATGGCATGTGCATGTTTCTGTGCATGTGGGAGTGTGCATGTGTGTGCGCATGTGTTTCTGCCGATAGCCTTTCTTTCTGTAGACCTCTGGTTTTGTGACTAGCCTCTGATCTACTATCTCTGTTGTGTCATCCCTCTTTTCACGCATCCTCTGTAGCAGAGCTTCCTAGGATTATATCCTTCCCTCTTGTGGTTTTGGTGCTTACTCCCAGTTCATGTGGTCGTCTCCACCAGACCTCTTCAGGGCTCCAGAGTTGTGTGGCCTGAGTACTTGTGAGACAGGGCTGCCTGCAACATCCCTCTATTCTTTTCTCTAGGCTTCTGCCTGGGTACCAGAGTGTGTCTGCAGAGAAACCTTTTTCTTCACCTCCTTTTTTCTCCTTTCCACCCTATAGGGTCTGCAAGCATAGACAATTCCTGTGACACTTTCTTACTGTCTCCAGAGCTGCTTCTACATCTTTGTTTTGGAGAACTGTCCCAACACCTGGTGCAATCACCTATACCTGGTATAGCTGTGAGTCTTCTCTATAAGGAGAGTTGCTTCCCTCTTGGTAGCTCACTATCCTCAGCCTAGAGCTAGGCTCCTGGTGGCACCCTGGACCCTTTCTGCCTTGACTCTAGCTTTTTCCTGTATTGCCCTGCCTACCCCCAATATTAGCAGGCTCCCTTCCCAACAGACACCCTCTCTCTATGGGAATGGATCTATGCTGCCACTCCTGGTGATCTCAGCACGCTGCATCACTGTCCTGTCCACGTGCCACGTTGTGGGCCCAGGAGAGGGGGTCCATGGGTAGCAGAGTGCCTGGCCATATCTCTGAGGTCCCTAGTGCCACAGAGTTGAGCTGAGGGTCTCGCTCACCCTCTGACCCAGCCCTTGAAGGTGAGTGGATTGATAGCCTGAAGGAGGCCATGCACTCTGTGTGTTCCTGAAATGGTGACTCCTGCTGCATGCTTGCTTATCCACTAAGCTGAATTAATGGGTGTGCTGTGGGAAAGTTTAGCTTTTTATTTTTAGTCTTAATCCTTTTTGAGCTCTAAGACTATTTTTGTGCCTCTGAAATAGGGATTAAAGTAAATAGTTGATAAAATATTTAATTTAGGGCTTAAAATTTAGATTCTGAAGAAAACTAATGAGATTTTTTCCCCTGATGTCTAAAAGGCTTTCTTAAAGCAGTTGTCTTAGCCCTTTACTATAGCATAGATAACATTTGACTTTTAACTTGGTACCAGAGAAGTGGAAGGTTTCTGTCATTTTGTGATGATATTTTTAAATTTCTTTGCAGGTGGAAGAAGAAAGGTGCCGCTTTGGCATGAAGATAGACTCACTTAGACGCCAATCTTTTAAGCTGAGTGCATTGTGATTTCCAATAATTGAGGCAGTGGTTCTAAAAGCTGTCTACATTAATGAAAAGAGCAATGTGGCCAGCTTGACTAAGCCTCCAGTGTGTGCATCGCGGGCAGGACGCCACCGGGTCTCGACGGACTTGTGCATGTTAGCAATATAGATTTATGTAAGGTGGTTTAAAACTCTGGTGTTTTAAAATAGTTTTAACTGCTCATAATATGGAGACATATGAGAGTCCCTCTCCTCTCCCGCGTGAGCCCGCAGGAGAAGCGATGATGGAGAACCGAGCTTGCCCCTTCCAAGTGCTGCCCCATGAACAGTCTCCACCACCTCCCCTGCAAACGTCCAGTGATGCAGAGGTAATGGACGTTGGCTCTGGTGGTGATGGACAGTCCGAACCTCCTGCCGAGGACCCATTCAACTTCTACGGAGCTTCTCTTCTCTCCAAAGGATCCTTCTCTAAGGGCCGCCTCCTCATAGACCCGAACTGTAGTGGCCACAGCCCGCGCACTGCCCGGCACGCACCTGCAGTCCGGAAGTTCTCCCCTGACCTTAAGTTGCTTAAGGATGTAAAGATTAGTGTGAGCTTTACTGAGAGCTGTAGGAGTAAAGACAGGAAGGTGCTGTACACAGGAGTAGAACGCAGCACTCGGGCTGAATGTAGCCTGCTCCTTAGTCCTGTCAGTGGGGACGTGCATGCTTGTCCCTTTGGCGGGAGTATTGGTAATGGGGTAGGCCTAGGGGGTGAGAGTGCAGATAAGAAGGATGAGGAAAATGAGCTGGATCAGGAAAAGAGAGTGGAGTACGCAGTGCTCGATGAGTTAGAAGATTTTACTGACAATTTGGAGCTAGATGAAGAAGGAACAGGCGGGTTCACGGCTAAAGCAATCGTTCAAAGAGACAGAATGGATGAAGAGGCCTTGAATTTCTCCTATGAGGTATGTTGGTGACCTGTTCTCTGGAGGGCTCTGAGTAAAACCCAAAGAGGTTTGGAAGTGGCTTTGTCTTTTGAAAGCAGGGAAATCAAAGCAAAACCGGGTGTGAGGGCAAATAACACTAATGTGGAGAAGAGAAGGATGTAAGGAGTTTACTATTTCTAAAGTTTCTTAGTGGAAAGTTTGGCTAACATTCAGCCGGATCTCTTTCCAACCTGAGTTAGCAGGTGCTGCTGCAAAGCCTCATTGGCTGGGTGTGCTCCTGGACCAGGCGTGTTGGTTTCACTTGTCATTTCATCCTGTTTGTTTTTCAGATGATCAAATGCCATCAGGGCATACCCAATCGCTGTTGAGGGTCTCTTTGTGTATTCCCTCACACATGCAAAACTTGTCCTTGGCACGGAAGCACGGAGGCCTGTAGTATCTGAACACCTTGTTTTGCAGGATGACTTTGACAATGATGTGGATGCTTTGCTAGAAGAAGGTCTTTGTGCTCCCAAGAAGAGGCGGATGGAGGAAAAATATGGCGTTGACAGTGATCATCCATCTGATGGAGAGACAAGTGTGCAGCCAATGATGACCAAGATTAAAACAGTGCTCAAGAGTGAGTGAGCTGATCACAAATCCTGATGCTTCAAGTCCCCAGAAAATTTTCTTTCTAGAATATTTTGGGAGTTCTCTGGTGTCAGACATCAGTCTAGGTAGAGACACAGGTTTATTATTTATTTATTTATTTTGGTTTTTCGAGACAGGGTTTCTCTGTATTGTTTGGAGCCTGTCCTGGAACTTGCTCTGTAGACCAGGCTGGCCTCGAACTCACAGAGATCTGCCTGCCTCTGCCTCCAAAGTGCTGGGTTTAAAGGCGTGTGCCACCAACGCCCGGCTGAGACACAGGCTTAAGTATAGAATACTTATGGGAGGTGAGAAGAAAACAAATTGGACACAAGTACTCACTCAGACCCACAACCCAGATTCAATCTTGGTAAATTCTGTGGAAGCCACAGAGGCTACAAAGGATCCTTGAATGAGATATATCAGTGTATGTTAGGCTATAAGACCAGGAGCCTGCAGATCATGGAGACCAAGGTCAGGTTGGTTTTTGGTGAGTTGGGAGGTTATAGTTGCCATCTAAGTTTTGGTTCTGTTGCAGGTAAGTCAGGAAAGCACCAGAATTAGGCTATTGTTGGCTTCTGGGCTACAGCATGGTCTTGCACTGTGGGTCAGGGTGGCAGCTCTGTGAATAGAAGTAGCATTGTTTGGGAGATGTGCAGAGTGGCACTTATACCTGCATCTGGTGGAAATGGGAGAGTAGTTGGTGGGACACTTATGGTTGTGTTATCAGGCTCTGTTGCTAGTACAGGTAAGTGTAGGGCAAGTTATATGAGCTTCTGTGTAGACTTGGCTTAGTGGACCTATTATTCTGGTAAGGATGCCAGGATTAGTTGGGAGTGGGGTTTCAAAGGCGCTTGGGCTCAGGCATATAAGTACTTGAGACTCCTGGAGAGAAGGTGGGGAGGTTTCCCTTCTTGAGCTCCTGTGGAGATAGGAGGGTCTGCAAGGCTAGGTACAGATATTGCTGCACATGGTGGTGGTGGCTGAGCAGTGCAGATACCATGATAGAATTTTAGACCAGATGGACTTTGGGCTGCAGCTTCTGAAAGGATGAGTCCAGGTGTTCTTCACCTTGGTGTTCCTGGAAGCCTGGCTTTGGGCTCTTCCTGTGGTTCCAGGAGTCTGTTAAGTTTCTCACAGGGCATCAGTAGCCCTGGCTTGTTACCTGCCTAGGAAGAGTCGAGTCAGGAGCATGCTGTTTGCAGCTCTTTAGACAGCTTAGTGGACTTTGACAGCTTGCTATCACAGTTAAGTGCTGGGATAAACCTGTTTGTTGCTTTTCCTGAATTAGTCCAAGGTTTGTGTGCAGCAGCTCCCCTTTGGTGAAGTTTCTGGAAGGAGTACCCATGGGTGCACTTCTGACTTGCAGGGTTCCCTCCAGGTCATACTCTGATGGTGGCTGGTGTTGATCACTGGGGTCAGAGCTTAGCCCAGTGATGCTCCTGCCCTTAGAGTCAACTGCACCTTTTTAAATCCTGTCTCATAATCAGGATTCATTTATGTGTATTTTCTTTAGATATCCAATTGTTCCTAATACCTGTAAGAACATTTGTTTTAGTTAAGTCTTCATTAGCTTTGTCGTTAAAGAGAGGCAAGTTGAAAACAAATATGGTACTTTTCTTAAAACTGCCAGTAAAGCAGAGAAAGGGTTAGAAGCAGTGTTTTTGTTTTTCTTTATTTATTTTGAATGTCTTTTTTTTTTTTTTTTTTTTTTTTTTTTTTTTGAGACAGGGTTTCTGTGTAAGGATAGCTGTCCCGGAATTCACTATGTAGGCTGGTCTCAAGGGTGGTCTCTAACTCCCAGAGATCCACCTGCCTTTGCCTCCCAAGTTTAGAGGCGTACTCTACCATGCCTAGTTGTTTTCTTTATTTTAGGGACTTATTTATATTAATCTTAAGTATATGAGTGTTTGCCTGTATGTATGTATGTATGTATGTGCACCGTGGAGACCAATGCATCAGATTCCTTGGAGCCGTTGGTTGTAGATGTGACCTACCATGTGAGTTGAGTGCTAGCATCAAACTTGGGTCCTTTGCAAAAGCAGCACTCTTAACTGCTGAGCCATCTCTTCAGCTTGTTTTATTTTTTAAGATGCTGCTGTGGAGTCAAACCCAGGGCTTGGCATATAGTAGTAACAGTAGTGTTATTTAATAACATGTGCCTGGTCACCAGGAACAGTGGCTGACACATTTGCAGATATTAGCAAAGTTTACTCACTCCTCAGGTACCTGTTACCATGGCTGAGAAGGTAGGAGAAATCCAGTATCCACTGTTGTTGAAGTGTGGAGGGAAAAGCTAAGGTGGGGACTATTTGGGGCTTTTTCTACATTGGTTCTCCATGTAGAAGTTCTCACCTTGTCCAACATACTATCCTAGGGGTGCAGTTGGGGCCCATCAGTCAGATAGAAACTTGGCAAGCCCTGTACAAAAACATGTCCAAGAGTCATTGTGTAACAATCTTGTGTTTATATATATATATATAGGTCGTGGCCGTCCACCTACAGAGCCATTGCCTGACGGATGGATCATGACTTTTCATAACTCTGGAGTCCCTGTATACCTGCATAGAGAGTCTCGAGTGGTCACCTGGTCCAGACCCTATTTCTTGGGAACAGGAAGCATACGGGTAGGGGCGTCATCTGTCATGTATTTAGGCTTGGCAATTCTCAATGCTTGTCTGCATGTGTTGAAGTGTAGTCAAATAGACTCAGTTGTTTGTCCTGATAACCTCTGTTTCAATTTTACTGTTTACAGAAACACGATCCTCCTCTAAGCAGTATCCCTTGTCTGCATTATAAGAAAATGAAGGACAACGAGGAACGGGAGCAAAACTGTGATCTCACGCCCAGTGGGGAGGTGTCACCTGTCAAGCCCCTGGGTCGATCTGCAGAGTTAGATTTCCCTTTGGAAGAGCCTGACTCCATGGGTGGAGACTCTGGGTCCCTGGATGAGAAGGACCCATTGGGGGGTGAGGCAGCCCCTGGAGCCCTGGGACAAGTGAAGGCTAAAGTTGAGGTGTGCAAAGATGAATCAGTTGGTAAGTGTTCTGAAGAGCTTTCTTCCCTCCTTGCTACCTGAGTTTTCACTCCTACCTTATGCTGGGCATTCCTGGTTGTATCTGAGAGGGGACCTTTGCACATATGCACATACAGTTTGGAGCAGACCTGAGTGTAGCAGCCTGAGCTCTGCGAGGGTCTGACTGCCAAAAGCTTCAGTAGAGAAGATTATGGCAATGCCAACTAGTCTTTCAATATGATTTTCTCTGAGGTCTTGCTCTTTCAATACAATGTGTTTCTGTGACATTAAATTTATCTGATGAACATAGCATGAGCCCGCAGCCATAAATCCAGCACCAAGGAACTGCCATTCTTCTGTGGCTAGTTCCCTCATCCCCATTTTTTTTCTTTTGATGCAGGGTTCTGCCTTTTGCCTTTATAAAGAACTGGGCAGTGCTCTCGAGTTTTGCATTTGTTTTTGTTTATATGCTTGTTGTTTCTCACTCTGTCTTGTGCCTAGAGCTTATTTCTGTCCCTTAGATCCCTAGTGGTATCAGAGCTTTTGAACCCACCTGCTAAGAGTCACTTTCAAAGAGGACTTGAAGCTTTCAGGGTTAAGTTTGTGTATGCTGCACAGCTGAGTTGTGAGGTTCCCTGGAAGAGGAAGCTGCTGTTGGGTAGGGGTAACATAGTCTGGGAAGAGGTGCATCAGTATAGAATCCCTGAGGAGGTAGAGAGTCACCTGGATATGGTTTGTTACTGACTTTGAAGGGCCAGAGATGGTCAGAGAGAGATGGTAGACACCTGCTGTGGGCAGTCAGGTACTTGCTGGTGTGTGTGTGTGTGTGTGTGTTTGCTTTGTTTTTTTATTTTAACACCCTCGTATCATTTTTGTATTGTTTTTCTTAGTCCAGATAAAGTAATGGTATGCCCAGGAGTCTATCCATAAGGTACTTCCCAGAATAATTTGAAGTAGGTGTGAAAGGACCTAATTTTTTTTTTCTTTCCTTGCTTTTGAAAGAGGTGGTGAAAGGGAAATGGGTATCATGTGTCCTGGACTTGCTTAATGGGGGTTGTCATTATACACAGGGGTGAGAAAACATGATTCTTGTGTTGAAAATCTGCTCATGTGGTTCATTGGTATATATCTTGGACAGATCTGGAGGAATTTCGTACCTACCTGGAGAAGCGTTTTGACTTTGAGCAAGTAACTGTGAAAAAATTCAGAACTTGGGCTGAGCGGCGTCAGTTTAACCGTGAGATGAAGCGGAAGCAGGCAGAGTCAGAGAGGCCCATCCTGCCAGCCAACCAGAAGCTCATCACTTTATCTGTGCAAGATGCACCTACAAAGAAAGGTAAGCTATGCTTGCACTGTCAGCATCAGCAGACAGAACATACCGTTGTCATTTAATTTGCTTAGTCTATGTTTATGAGTGCACTCACCCCAAAGCTATAATGCAGAGGCTGCCATGTTCTTAGTGTTAAGTCCCTAAGGAGTGGCTCAGTAATGTGGATGGGCCAGGTTCCTAATTATTACCTGAGATAGTTCTTTTTGTCACAGAATTTGTCATCAATCCCAATGGGAAGTCTGAGGTCTGCATCCTGCACGAGTACATGCAGCGTGTCCTCAAGGTCCGCCCTGTTTATAATTTCTTTGAATGTGGTAAGTTCAAACTCTTTGAAGACTCTTACATATCATTTTGCTTGTGGCTGGAGGTGGGAGTGAGTACGTTGGTCCTGGTGGGTTAAATAGTCATGCAAGGGAAGCACAAAGAGAAGTATAGTGCAGATAGGTGTCATATTTTTCACAGCAGTGACCCTTGTCTGAGAGGGGATGGCTTAGTTTTTCCTTTTGAGTTTGTCCTATTTTCCCCCTTTCCCTATTTTTCTTCTCTGCTCTGCCTTAGTAGGGCCTGACTTGTGAAGAACAGTCTGTAGTAAAGGCCTTTCTGTTGTGCATTGAATTCTTTCCTGGTCTTCCTGTCCTGTGGCCACCACCCCCACCCCCACCCCCACCCCCCCAATAATGAAGGAGCCTTGATCTTACCAAACTTCCTGATAGCTTTGTCTTCTGTGGTTTCCTCTGTATAGTTCATGAATGCCAGTGTGATTGCCCTGGGAATCTGAGACCTGGGATCACTCATTATTGGGGGATTGTTTCTTATATATCCATGGTCCTGTGCTTTGCCATTCTTGACAGTCCTGTTTGTCTTTTAGAGACCTCACCCCTACCTTGTCCCTCCCTCTACTGGGCAGCTCTGCCTTCGGCTTCTGTTTCCCCTTTGGATCATTTCCTGTAGTAACCCACACTCTTCAGTCTTCTCATCTGTGTCCCTTGTTGCCTGTCTCCACGTCTCCCAGCCTTGTCTGCACATCTCAAACAAGCACAGATACGCTTTATTCAGGGGTATCTTGCCAGGGATGACAGATTTTGTGTGTGCATGCTTTTCTTGTCTTGACAAGTGTGTTTTAAAACGAGTAATTTTAATTTTAAGAGAATCCAAGTGAGCCTTTTGGTGCCTCGGTGACCATTGATGGTGTGACTTACGGATCTGGAACTGCAAGCAGCAAAAAACTTGCGAAGAATAAAGCTGGTAATGTGGTTTGCTTGGTATATCAGCTACTTTTCTTGTTGCTGTGATAAGATACCCTTACAAAAGCAACTTAAGAAAGGAAGTGTTCCAAAAAAAAAAAAGGTGGCACACGTCTTTAATCCCAGCAGTCAGGAGGCAGAGGCAGGCGGATCTCTTGAGTTCGAGGCCAGCCTGGTCTACACAGCAAGTTCCAGGACAGCCTCCAAAACAATACAGAGAAACCCTGTCTCGAAAAACCAAAAAAAAAAAGGGGGGGGGAGTGTGGGTTTTGGCTCCTGAAGGGCACATTTTGTCATGGTGGGAGTGGCATGGTGTAGGAGCTTGAGCGTGCTCCCAGCGTGGCATCTGCAGCCAAGAGCTGACAGTGATGAATGCCAGTACTCGGCTTCTTTCTCTGTTGTTCAGCCCAGAACCTAGCTTGTGACATGGTGCCACTTCCATTTAAGGTGGGTTTTCCCACCTCAGTTAACTGTGTCTAGATATTGGTCTGCAAGTATGCCCTAAAGGCTAACTTAATTTAGATATTGATCACAGGCATGTCCAGGAGTTGGTAATTAGTGTTAAATATCACTTTTGCTATACTAGAGACATGCTGCCTGCTGGGTTTACGTCACTCTGATTAGCAAGGGGCTAGGTAATGAGTAGGTTTTTAAGGGGTATGGGTACGACATTTATTCATGTAGTCTGTTTTTTTTTAAATGTGCTTTTAAAAAAGGATTTATTTTTGTGGTGTGTGTGTGTGTGTGTCTGTGTGTCTGTGTCTGTCTGTGCATCTTCATGTGAACTACTTATGTGTTGGTGCCCTCAGGCCACAAGAGGGCATTGGATTCTCTGGAATTGAAATTAAAGGAAGTTGGGAGTCAACTGATGTAGGTGCTGAGAACCAAACCCAGATCAGCAAGTACCCTTAGCCCTTTCTGAGCTATCTCTGACACCCTCTTCTTTGATTTTTAAAACATACTTGACAGTATTTCTAGTACTTGGGAAGCTGCTACAGTACCATTGGACCATTGTGAATTTCAGGCTAGCCTTGGCTGTAGAGCAAGACAGTCTCAAAACTAAGGACTGAGAATGTAAGTTAGTTGTAGAGTGGGTCTAATCCCTTGCACTACCAAAGATAAAATATAATAACTATGTACTTATTGTGAATGATTTAAACTAAGAAAGTAAAAAGCAAACGATGAGTTAGAAAGGTAGCTCAATAGTTAAGAGCATATACTGTTATTTTAGTGGAACCAAGTTTAGTTCCTGTCTTACTTTTCTACTACTGACAAAGCACCATGACCAAAGCAACTTTAAAATAAAGCATTTAATTGGGGCTTATGGTTTCAGAAGGTGAGTTCATGACCATTGTGACAGGGAACATGGAGCAGGCAGGCATGGTCCTGGAGCAGTAACTGAGACTTGATATCTGATTTACAAGCATGAGGCAGAGAGAGCTAATTAGGAATAGTGTGGGCTTTTGAAGCCTCAAACCCCACCACCTCTATGGTACATCCTTCAGCAAGGCCATTGCCTCCTAGTGACCAAAGCATTCAAAATCAGGAGACTGTTGGGGCCATTCTCATTCAAATCACCACAGTTCCGAGAACCCACATGGGGCAGCTTACAAATACCCATAACTCCAGCTCCAGGGGGGGTCTAATGCCTCTGATTTCTGCACATACATATATACATAATTAAAATAAGATTCTAGTGAACTATGTGCCAACACCTTTAATCCCAGCATTCAGGAGGCAGAAGCAGGCAGATCTCTGTGGGTTTGAGACTAGCCTGTTTTATAGAGTGAGTTCCAGGATAGCCAAGGTTATGTCTCAAAGAACAGGTGGGTTGTTTGTCTGTGTTTGTATGTTTGTTTGCTTTGTATGTTTTTATTTTTCAGTACAGGGTTTCTCTGTGTAGCCCTAACTGTCCTGCAACTTGATCTGTACATTAGGCTGGCCTTGGACTCACAGAGATCTGCCTGCCTGTCTCCCAAGCACTGAGATTAAAGGTGTGAGCCACCTGCACCCCACCCCCAGCTCAGATTTTTATTTTTTAAAGTGAGACTGTAGTAGAGGGCCTCTTTCTGATAAATGACAGCAAAGTCAGTGTTTTCTGTTCATGTTCTAGCCATACGCAGATTTGGGTATGCTTAGAGCCTATGGGGCCATGGTATGTTTAGTAATGTACAGTTTTGTTATTTTTTATTTTTGGTTTTTGAGACAGGGTTTCTCTGAGTGTTGGGTTAAAGCATTCACCACCACACTTGGCATGCAAGTTTGTTTTTAAACAGAAAAATGTGGGCATGCTAAGAGAAAAAGGGCAGATTGTTATCACCATTTCCACCGTTTTTGATATTTATATACGCTTATTTCCTGAGTCCTTCAGATTCCAAATTGGGGATTAGATAGTTGTTGTACACCACGTTCATCCCAAGAAAACAGGTGTTTTCCTTTAAAAGACCCACTGTACCATATCTTTGCCTTCTGCCTTAAGGGAGGAATAGACAGCATTTTTGCACTAAGCCATTTTGCTTAGCATTGGGGTTGTTTGGGCTTTTGTGAGTAGTGGATACATTGTAGGTTAGTGTTAGGTATACTTCTGGCCCTGGCACATACAGGGCCATTCTTGAACTTTATCCTATGGGCATGTTGTCTTCTAGAAGTGTTCTCTATACAGAACAGGAGGCATACCATTTTTCTCAGTCTTACTGGGTCTTGGGGGACAGGTGGAGGATTTTCTACTTGTAAGAATCAGAGTGTTCCTCTATGCTACTTTCTTTCTTTCTTTTTTTTTTTTGTGAGGACCATAAGAAGTCTTTCTTCATCACGTTACTGCCCGTCTTCTGTTCAGTTGCCCTTAGCTTGCAATATTCTTCCTCTGTCTCCAGGAATTCCTGATTCTGTTTTGTTAACTTACTCATGCAGAGCTAGGGACTGAGCCAGGTCTTGACATGCTAGACAAAGTGCTCTAGCTCCTGCTATTCATTTTAGAAAGATTCAGCCTAAAAAGATTTCATCTCAACAAATTGCTGAGATTTTGAGCAGATAACTTTTGAGATATAGGGCCTGACTGAAGACTGGAACATCCTCAGGCTTTCCCTAAGCTACTCCTTACACTGTCTCTGTGCTGGGCTTTGTTCCTCTGCCTATTCCAGTTATTCTCTCTAGACATCTGCACTGGGATGTCTTACCAACATTGCTGTGCTGGACCAGACTGAGCCATTACTATAACAGGCAGTGGCCTGTTCATGTGGGTGCCACTCTCATATTCTGCCTTATACATGCTTCCAGAGTTCCTCAGGTATGTCCATCTACCTGTTCATGGTAGCTGCTCTCCATGTGTTGTGGTCTGGATGTCTGTAGCAGTCTGCTGTCAGGCCTCCTTGAGTCTGGGTTTTGCCAAGCCTTTTTTTTTAAATATGCTACAATTTGAGTAAAATATATGTGAGTTCCTTCCTTGGTAAAATTGGTATAGAAACTTAGAACATCTTACTGTCCCTTTTTCAGGATGCACTTGGTCTTTGTTCCCTCCCAATTCTACCTTGTAAAGTATTGTTGCTGCTTCTGGCTACGATAATGAGAACCAACATGTAGCTCACTGCTAGCTGGGCAGCATGCCTGGTCTTCCTTTGGGTTTAAGCCCTCACCTCAGACTTTTTCTTTTTGTAGCCCGAGCCACACTGGAAATTCTCATCCCTGACTTTGTTAAACAGACCTCCGAGGAGAAGCCCAAAGACAGTGAGGAACTGGAGGTGAGTGTGGTGATCTTGTTCTGCTGGGAGCTGCACCTGTCATACAGCTACTGACCCCATTGCCTCAATCAGGGTTGTGCACCATGTCAAGGGTGTAGTCATTAGCCTCTAAGAAGAACTTGCTTGTCTTTGTGAAGGCAGAGGGAAAAGTCTTAGTGTGTAGTATACATACATACAGATCTTTGATGGAAATGAACCTAGCAGAGTATAAAATTGACATTGTTGTTTATGTTAGGAACTCTATGAAACCATGTCCTGTGTAAACCTTTTATTTAAGATAAATAATTTGGTTCTATGGCTATTCACAGCAAAGAAGTTTTATCTTGATTTCTTTTCACGTCTGTTTGAATTTTCTTGATATCACCAGTCATTTTAAAACCATTCTTTGCAGTTCTTTAACCTTTGGAACCTTATACCATCTTTGGACTTAGTTATGGTAGAGTCCTGAACATTTACAGGACTTGCCTTGGCTTTTCAGGGTTCTTATGTTTCTATATTGTATCTTGCATGTCTGTCAGGATGGGTTATCTCAATGGGAGGCAAAGGCAGGCAGATCTCTATGAGTTTGAGGCCAGTCTGGTCTACACAATTAGTTTCAAGTCAGCCAGTGACTACATAGTGAGACCCTGTTTCCCGCCCCCCCAAAAAAAACCCCAAAAAAATGTTTTTATTTAAATGGATTTTAAGATTTTTCAGGGGTCTTATTAGACTTCTGAAGTCATATTCCACATTTGCACTAAGAGAAAACAGACAATAGTAATTAAAAACAATTACTCCATTTTTGTTACATTTATTTTTATTGTTTTATTATTTCCGTGTGGTTGTGCTTGTATGTGGGTGCCTGCACGCTCGGGTCAAGTGTGGAGGTAGCAGGGCCACTGCAGGAAGTGGGTTCTTTCCTCCTACCATATGCACTCCAGGACTGAAACTCGGGCCCTCAAGCTTGTGTGTGGCAAATGCTACATTTAACTAGAGGGAGGTAAGAAAAAGAGAAAAGATGTATGGGGTAAAAGTATAAGGAAAAGTCATGGCTAGCATGTGGTGTAGTACTGTATGCCTGAAGGCCTCATATTTGGGAAGTAGAGGCAGGAGGACTAGAATTATCTCAGGTATGTAGGTATTCAAAGTTAGCTTGAGCCCATGAGACTATGTCTCAACCCCCACCCCCTCCCCCAAGAAGAAGAAAGAGAAAAAGAAGTGATCTTTCATAAAGGAGCAGATAAGTTCCAGGACAACCTCCAAAGCAATACAGAGAAACCTTGTCTCGAAAAATCAAAAAAAACAAAAACAAAAAACAAAACAAAACAAAAAAACCATAAAGGAGCAAATAGAAAAGCAAGAAAGGCAATACAACCAGAAGGAAAGAAGGGGGAAGGGAGCCAACAAACAGGACAAGAGAATGTGCTGTGTTCTTTAAAAAGTGGCACGCCATGCGACAGAGCTTGGGTGGAGGGGTTTTTTATTGGGGGAAAGTGAATGGGAAAAGGTGGGAGGAGAGACCAACCTGGGGACAGTAGCAGCAGAGGAGCAGAGAGAGACAGGCAGAGGAGGAGAGAGAAGGTGGGGGGAGAGGGACATGAAAGAGATGGGAGGTGGGCAGGGCCCTTTTAAAGGGAACATAGTGATTGCACAGGTGGTGTCTTAGTGGCTGCAGCTGAGTGCGTATCCTGTCAGTATCCCAAGAACAGGCCAGTACAGATGCCTGAACACTAACAGAGTGGATCATTTTTCTTTCTCCCGGCTTGTTTTTATAGGTGAGTGAAGTCTAAAGCAAGTCAAAGAAGGACTTTTCTCAGCTTGCACTTTTGGTTGTGAGAAGTCCTGGCTATGCTGCAAGTGCAGGAGCCTCCCTCAGACTGCTTCTGTACCTAGCTGAAAGACATTCGTTCCCTCTGCACCAAAGACCCTCTGCCTGCCTGGTGGGCTTGTGGTGGGCAGTGCTCTCCCTCCCTCCCTCCCTCCCTCCCTCCCTCCCTCCCTCCCTCCCTCCCTCCCTCCCTCCCTCCCTCCCTCTCTCTCTCTCTCTCTCTCTCTCTCTCTCTCTCTCTCTCTCTCTCTCTCTCTCTCTCACTGTGTGTGTGTGTGTGTGTGTGTGTGTGTGTGTGTGTGTGTGTGTACATGTACACAGAGAATAACCTTAGATGTTGTACCTCAGGTGCCACTCACATTTTTTGAGACTGTTTTGCTGGCTTGGAATACCCAGTAGATTAGTGTCTGGCAGGTTCTAGGAATATGTCTTTCTTTTCCTGCCTAGTTCACCACCATGCTTGGAATTTTTTAAACATTGGTTCTGCGTATTGAACCCAGGTCTTCATGCTTATTCGGGAAGCGCTTTGCCAACTGAGGTGTCTCCCCACCTCCTAGGCTGGGCAGCAGTTGATTTTCTCCACTCTTAGAGTATACAAAGTAGTCAGGCCAAAGCAGTTCATACTGACTGGCTAATGGGTTCATCTTTATCTGTCATGGCCTCAGTTCTGTCATGCACTTGTCTTCACACACAGCTAGCTCTCTTACTAGCCATTTGGTTTGTAGCTTCCTTATCTACTTGCCACGGTTGACACATACCTCCTAAGTATATCTGTCTCAACCTAAGTAACTTCCAGTTTCCTAGGCTCACACTCATTTGTTTTTTTTCCCTGTATTTAAAATATTACTATATCATTTCTCCTTCAGCCTCTCCAGTGCCCTCCCCAACACATTCTTGTGGTAGTCACTTGCTTAGCTAGTGGAGAGGAGTGGGCTTTTGGAATTTGGAGATATGAAAATGTAGGGTCTTCTCTCCCCAGCTTAATGATATACAAGACCTCTCCTGAGATGATTCCCCTTGATAGCAGTGAGCAAGCTAGGAAGTGCTCGACTACAGGATTTTTCTCTAATATTTTCCTTAAATTTATTTGTGTATGTGCATGGAAGTCAGAGGATAACACATAAGAGTTGGTTCTGGACTGTCAAGTGTATTGTTTCTTTGATGTCTGCCGAGCCCTAGATGAAGGACTCTTGATTAACCTCCTAGTAGGGAATATGTCAGCTCATGCCTTTTAGCCTTTCTGTTTTCTGATAAGAAACTGTTTTGGATTAGGTAGAAGTATCATAAAGTTAAACCCCCTCTGGGCCAGGCATTAAAATCTGTTTCAAGTAACAAGACAAAACACTGAAGACTGGGGTATATACAGTTTGATATACTTATTGATAATTTTAATTTGTCCTAAAGGTTTCTGAAACTCTTATTTTTGTTGCCCAGACTGTATGATCTTTATAGACCTATCTTAATGTTTGCTGATAGTTTTCTGTCTACTTGAATCTACTAGGAAACATCTCTAGTGAACAATTCATAATCCCCACTCTGCCCTTCTTGTGTTAGGAATGGTATCAAGAGACTTAGACATGCCAGACAAGAACTCTTATCTCCAGGTTCCCCCCACCTCAGCCCCTGTGTGTATATCTGTCTTTTTTGAGACAGTGTCATACTGTGTAGCCCGGCTGGTCTGGAACTCTCTAGTAGGTCAGGCTGATCTCAAACTCTCAAAGATCCGCCTTCCTCTGCTTCCCAGGTGCTGGGATTAAAGAAATTGTTTCTATGCCCAAAGAAACAAACCACAAACCCAAGTTTGGTTTCCAGCATCCACATTGAATGGGTCATAACCACTGATAACTCCAGTTTCAGGGGATTCAGTACTGGAGTGACATTACTGGGCACATTGACTCACATCGCACATGTACATCCAAATATAATTTAAAAATGATAAAATTAAAAATAAGAAGCTAGAGAAATGCTTGAATACTTGTTCCTTTTACAGAGGACCTGGATTCAGTTCTTTGCTCCTCCCCTCCCCCAATCCCCAGTTCCAGATCTGATGGATGCTCTTTTCTAGTTTCCATAGTTGCTGTACATACATGGTACACAGACATACATACAGTCAAAACATCCATACAGACAATTAAAAAGGTTTTGAAAAAGAATATTAAGAACAGTCTCAGACAGGAACTCAAGGACAATTTATTGGCATTACAGAGGAAAGAATGGGTAGACAAGCTAGCGATCTCATCAGCTACCAGTAGGAGGGAGATGGATAAAGGACAGAGAATGAGAACAAGTGAAGACAAGGCATACCAAGACAAAGGAATTTGGTGGCATGGACCTTTATTCTGTGTAGGGTTGTCTTCTGGTGTCTATGGGGCAGAAGTTGATGTCTGGCGTCTCATCAACTGCTTCTACCTTTTTTTGGAGTAAAGGTCTCACTGAGTAGCTGTTTTGGTTGTTTTGGAACTCACTGTCAGTGTATCAAAGATAGGATAGTGAATGACTAATAGTATCTGTTGCTATCAGTTTACTTCTTAGTTCTTTTAATTTACTGGTTTGTGTGTATACGGTTTTGTGTGTGCATTCGTATAGGGGCTTATGCTCATGTTGTGTGTGGTTGCACATGGTGGAACCCAGAGGACATTTCATGGAGTACATTCCCTCCTAATTTTACTTTGGTTCCAGGGGATCCTGTTCAGATGACTAGGTTTGTGTGATAAGCACCTTCATTGCTGAGCCATCGTGCTGGCCCTTCCTTTGGGCCACTTTAAAATCCTGTTACTGATTCATCTTTAACCTTGCAGTTAGTTATCTGCAGTGGATCTTTGTCACTGAAACACCTGTGCTGGCTTATTTATACTCTTAATATAAGGCCAGCTCTTAAAAATGATTTATAAACAGCTTGGGAAATTTCTTTCCCCCAGCATTTTAGTCCTTCCTTAAAACTGGGCTTATTTCAAATAAAAACCAACACACTTTTTTGCAATCTTTTATTTAATAATTAATATATTTTTTGTCTTTTTTTTTTTTTTCAAGACAGAGTTTCTCTGTGTAACAGTGTTGGCTGTCCTGGAACTCGCTTTGTAGACCAGGCTGACTTGGAGCTCACAGAGATCCACCTGCCTCTGCCTCCTGAGTGCTGGGATTAAAGGCTTGCACCACCATCTCCCGGTGCCTATAGTCTCTTATTTTGCCAGTCTGGATGTTTTAACATAATAGCCCTTGGCTATTGTTGAATAGAAATGTTGATAGTAGATATTTGTTCTCGTCTTTGGGAAACATTCAGTGTGATATTGTCTGTGGGGTTCTCATAGATAATCCTTTCTTGGGTTGAGAAAGGTCTCCTCTGCCTTTGTTGCATTTTTTCTTTTCGTTTTTTGAGTCTGGGTTTCTCTGTGTAGTCCTGACTGTCCTGGAACTCCCTTTGTAGAGCAAGGTGGCCTTAAACTCAGAGATCTGCCTGCCTTTGTCTCCCTGGAATTAAAGGCATGTGCCACCACTACCCAGCCCTGTTGAGCATTTTTAACTTGAAAAGCTATTAGGTTTCTGTCAGATGCCCTTTTTTGTACCATGTCTATGATCTTATTTATGGTATGATGTTTATCTAATTTGTTTGAATAATTAATTATATTTTTTTTAGAGCATGCATTCCTGAAGTAGAGTCTTAGCATGGTTTATATTCCTTTCTCTGTACTGCTGGTTCCCATTTATACACCGGTGTGTGTGTGTCGCGCCCGCCTCGACCAGCAAGGAAGACACAACGCCCAGACTCTTCTTTAAGCAGTTTATTCAGGAACCTTGAACAATCTTCTTCTGCCGGGGAGCGCCAACCCACAGCTTAAAAACCCTTGGACGGCCAATCCCAGTATGCCATGTGGAACATGCAGATAGGTCCACGTACGCAGAAGCAAGGCTGATATCCAGCCTTAACCAAATACAGGTGTTGTTTATCACAGAGAGCACCTGCTGTCGGGCTAGCAGAAGGTGGAAGCCAGCGCCATCTTAAGGGTGCGGCACTTCACAGCTCTCTACGTGTGTGTATGTTACTTATTTTATTTTGTGTTTGTGGAACACATGTGCCACAACACACGTGGAAGTCTACCTTTATGTGGGTTCTAGGGATTAAATTCAGATCATCAGGCTTGTTTAGCAAGTGTTTTATCCATTAAGCTATCTTGTCTGCCCTTTGCTTTTGCTTTTTTTTTTTTTTTTGAGAGAGAAACTCACTTTGTTATACTAGCTGGCTTGGAACTTGATATGTAGGCCAGGCTGACCTCCAACTCACAGAAGTCTACCAGCCTCTGAATGCTAGAATTAAAGAGTGTCCCACCAAGCTCAGTGTGTTATTTGTTTTGTTTCAGGGTCTTGGTACATAGCCCAGTCTGGCATGGATTTTCCTATCTTATTAACTTCCTGAATGCTGGGCATATAGGCACACAGCATCATACATACAAGCTGATACTTTAAAAAAATTTCTCATTTGTGTTTTTGAGAGTTGTTCTTGTATAGGTTTTGTTTTATTGGGGTTGGTGTTTTAGTATGGTACTGGTAGCATCATAAACTAAGCTGTGAAGTATCATTCTTGAGTTTGTGTAGAATTGGTATTTTCTCCTTAAATGTGGTGTAGTCATTCATTACCAGTTGAGTCATCTGGACCTGAAGTTTTCTTAGTGGGATGATTGATTTATAAACACACGTTTTGCTGTCTTGAGTAAATGTTGCTGAAGCTATTTCAGGAGTCTGATTTTTACGATGCTGTTTCTCAGTATCTACATTGTAGATTTTCATGGGCTGTCTAGGAGTAGTTTGTACTTTTTCATCTATGAACAGTGAGCACTTGAGTCTCCCAGGAATATTAGTGATTATCTGTAGGTCACTTTGCCATTTGATTACGCTGCAGAGACACTACCCAGTGATGCTTGCTCTGTGGGCTTTATGATCAGAGTTTTATACCAGACACAGACATCTTTGTGTTTCTGAGTATGTGTTCTTCAGTGGGTGTGCTGGTCAGGTTTTTCCAGGGAGGATTTTGGGTTTAAAAATAGGCTGTCTGTCTGCCTGCTGTGCTCTGATGTCCTGCTGAGTAGAGCAGGATCATACAGGCTGATGTTGCTAGTCAGTTGGCTGCCTTACTGGTCCTTGTAGTTAATTCCAGGGCCTTAACTCCTGGTAAGGGTGATTGACTTCCCTACATTTGAGGGCAGAGGCATCTTTTGATAACCTGTTTGAAGACAATAGCCAAACCATGATAGTTAGAATTCATGCTTACCAGTCTTGGCTGGATTCTCCATGTACTAATTTCCTCCACATTTGTCACCGGAGCACTGCAAACACAGAGGAGAGCCATTCATATGTTATTCTAGAGAGGACTTGACTTAGGTTTTTTCATGTGATGCAAGGGCTCTGGGCCTCTGTAGATGGCTGACTGCCTAGTAGGCTGGTGAGAGACTTTCTGCTTCCCGTAGAGATTCTCTGGCTGGTGAACTCTATTGTTTCATGCTTGTTTTCAAACTCTGTTCCTATTTGCTTGTCAACCGAGAAATTAATCTTTGCTTAAGGGATCCACTGAAGGGCTAGTCTCTATTACTTACTTCAGAATGTGGCCTTACTTTGAGACTAGGTTGCTACAGGTACAATTTACTGACTTATGGTTGAATAGTTGTGACTGGTTTTCCAGAGGGGGAAAAACAGACTGAGTAAAGATTGTCTTAGTGCTGCCATAAGCCAAAGGAGGTGGGCCACCAGAAGCTGGGTCTTCCCAGGTAGTCTCTGCAGAGGGAGGGAGTATGCTGACTACCCTGAGTTTTTACTTTTTTCTCACAATTCTAGAGTAGAATTCTACTCTAGAATTGTGAGAAGACACACTATTTTTATGTTTTTTTGTTGTGGGTGGTGATGTTGGTTTTTGTTTGAAAACAGGGTTTTTCTCTGTATAGTTTTGGAGCCTGTCCTGGAACTTGCTCTGTAGGCCAGGCTGGCCTCAAACTCACAGAACTCTGTCTGCCTCTTCCTCCTGATTGCTGGGATCAAAGGTGTGTGCCACTACTGCCAGAATAGGACACTATTATAACCAGTTTGTTGCTTGGATGATTTACTTATTTAAATACTGTAGAGGGTACCTACACAAACTAGGGTGACTTTAATGTTGCTAGGTGATTATCCTATGGGACTACCCTTGTGTCTACCATCAACAGGTAGATTTATCAGTGTATGACTGTGCTCTGTTTCTGCAGTCTGTCACAGAGATGTTCTGTGCTATAACGTGAGCTGAGCTGTCTGGCATCTTCTGTTCACTGAGTATCAGGTCAATTAGAGATGAAGGCAGGGGAGGTTCTGTTAGCTACTAATTTCTGATCCTTTGTCCTTTGTCTCCTGCATTTCATGGCTTCATAGCTGCTCCTCCTACCCCTAACCTTCCTTAGTCTGCAAAATTTCTCTCCCCGTGTGTCTTAGGTCTTACTTTTTCTTTTGTTTGTTTGTTTGGTCTTTTGATACAGGGTTTCTCTGTGTAGCCTTGGCTGTTCTGTAACTCACTCTGTAGACCAGGTTGACTTGAACTCACTGAGATCCTGCTGCCTCTGCCAAGATCTTGAGTGCTGGGATTAAAGGTGTGCACCACCAGTGCCCAGCCTTAGTGACTTTTCTGTTGCTCTGACAAAACACTATGATCAAGGCAATTTATAGAAGAGTTTGTTGGGGCTTACAGTTTCAGAGGGTTTGCTAATGATGAGAAGCATGGCAGCAAGCAGTAGCTGAGAGTTCACATCTCATCTATAAGCAGGAGTCAGGGTTCAGGGGTGAATCTAACTAGGAATGGTATGAGCTTTTTTTTTTTAGGATGACTCTAACTAGGAATAATATGTATGGGTTTTTGAAACCTTAAAGCCCACCCCCAGTGACACACCTCCTTATCCTTTCCAAACAGTTCCACCAGCTAACAGGACTGTCTGGGGATATAGCATGCTCTAGTAAGGTGACAGGAAAGGATGTTGAGCATGTGAGGGAAGCACACAGTGTTGCACGGCTCTTAAGAGGTGATGGGCCTGCTCAGGATTCATAGGCATGTGCTTTTTGTTTTAGTATTTTAACCACATCAGTATTGAGGATTCACGTGTCTACGAACTGACCAGCAAGGCCGGGCTGTTGTCTCCGTATCAGATCCTCCATGAGTGCCTTAAAAGGTAGGGTAGGCAGTGCCTTCTTCAATAATTGGGTCATGGGAGTTCCTCTAGGGCATCTCAGAATTTCATTGGCTTTTGTCCCAAGGTAGAGTCATTATCTATTTCCTGGATATACAGGAGCCCTTTGGCTCTGAATGATGGATGAGCCCTGGACAACTGAAATGAATGTGTGGAGAATCTCCATTAGTCAGCAAACATCTAGGGAGGGTTCAGGTTTTCTTTGGAGAGTCATTAATGAATTTTGTTATATAGTAGCCCTCCCCAGAAGTCACCATGTACAAGCATCATCCATTGATATCTCCTTGTCATCTTTGTTTTCTCCTAAAAGAAACCATGGAATGGGTGACACATCCATCAAGTTTGAAGTGGTTCCTGGGAAAAACCAGAAGAGTGAATATGTCATGGCATGCGGGAAGCACACAGTGCGCGGGTGGTGTAAGGACCTGTCTCCTCCCCTGCTTCCCTCATAGACTGACATGTTTTCAGAGGACTGCTGGAGTATGGCCAGTAGTTTCTGACACGAGGGTGTGTGGCCTAGTCCTCTACTACTGCTCTGACAGTCATCCCAAGCTCCAACTTTGTGTGGGGGATACCACACCTTCATCTGAAGCTAGATTTGTGGTCGCCCTGTCTGCATTCTTTCTCCTGTTCCACTTTTGCTTCTATTACCTCTAACCAGCCAGTCTCCCGTAGGATGAGGGGGCTAGCTTCCTGAGGAGCAGGCTGATGGCTGTCTATCCATTTGCACATGTGGATTCTTACTCTGCGTTTACATCTGACATAGCTACTTAGTTAAAGCCAGTGGCTCAGCTTCTTAGGAAGGAGACTGGGCAGGAGAATCAGTCATGTGAGGATGTCAGTTTAGTACTAGCTTAAACAACATAATGGCACCTTGCTCCTACAAAGTAGAAAACAAAACAAAGTAAAACTGGATAACCACTGTAAGGAAAAATTAGTTTTATATATACATTATAGGGGATGATACATAGAGGGCCTTGGGAAATTATAGAACATTTATTAGACCTGGATATTCCCAGTTACCTGTGACTATTGCTGCACCCTACAAAGAGGTAGGCTGTTGAGAAAGAAGACTTGAGCGAGTGAGCAGTCCAATTATCTTTCAGCACGGAGAGCTTTCCTGGCTCAGGGCATCCTTCATATGGAGGCTCTACCCAGGCATGTACACCATAGGAGCCGCAAATTTTAGGAAGGCTTATTGCTGGTGGTCTGTGTGTTGTAGGAAAGTGGGGTGGAGTGGGCCAGTGGAGAGAAGGAGGCTTTATTGTCTTGGCTAATAGCTTTCCCATTTGTCCTTGTCTGGATCTCCTGAAAGCTGCTCGCGGGGTGGTACCTGGGTCCAGGTCTCAGGACTGTGAGTCATGGTGTCCAAAACAGTGGCGAAACACTGTACTGTTTACCCTCCTTTGGAATCCCCTGCATGGCTTCCTAGGTACCAGGGAAAGGTTCTTCTGTCTGGATATTTGTGACTCCTCTCTATCTTTGATTTCTCCTTTCATAGGTAAGAATAAACGAGTTGGGAAACAATTAGCCTCTCAGAAAATCCTTCAGCTGCTGCATCCACATGTCAAGAACTGGGGATCCTTACTGCGCATGTATGGCCGCGAGAGCAGCAAAATGGTGAAGCAGGTAACCAGACTGTCAGGTTGTCCGGCAGTGGCTGTGCTTCCCAGTTTCTTGCTTTGAGCCATATGTAGGGGTTTGCTGTCAAGGTCGGGTTTAGCACTGCTTTTGATTATGACTATCTCTCCTTTATAGTGCTAGTGATTGTGCAGACTGGGCATGGGGGCACCCAAGCCACATCTTCCTCTTGATTCTGCCAAGCATTAAGTATGAGCCGTTAGGAAACATGCTTAGAGCTCTAAGACTGCCACACATGAGACAGTAGATGTAGGCAATGACCACCACCTGGTGCTGAATTGTGTGAAGGCTTGGGAACTGTCCTTTGGCGGTTCCCAAGACCAGTGTATCCTCGTTCAGTTGAAGATTCCAGTGGCTTACGGAATATGAGTATTGCCTGTTTTGTTTCTGTGGCTTTTACCCAGCTCTCAAAATGTAAATCAATCTTCAAACCTAATGGGTGTGGGGAGGAGTATAGGTGGTGACCCTGAAGACTGCTGTGGACCCTTGAGCCAGTAGTATGGAGCAGTGCAGCACTCCCCTTCAGGTTCTCTCCTTGCTCTGAGCTGGCAAAGCAGGAGTCCAGGAGCCACACGGAGAATATAAACATAAGGCTCCTTCTTCTTTTCCTGATTACTGTCTCTTCCTACTGCTGGCGATTGTATCTAGGGCTTTGCGCAAGCTAAACAAGGCTGTACCACTGAGCTGCATCCCCAGCTTGAATAGAAACACCTTCTGTGAGTTGAAATGTAGGTGCAGTATTTGCTGTACATAGACCTGGACTCAGACAGAGAGAACATTGCTGCCTTCACCTGCAGGGTGAATGTCTCTTGTCTGACATAGGAACCCTGACATGCCAAGACACAGCATCCTTGGCCATGGCCTCCAAGACAATAAGAGACCAAAGAGGACAGCTGGGCAGGCTGTTCGGCTGTGTTATGTCTCAGTTGGCTTCAGCCATGCCCTTGCCACTGTCTGAGGGTTCCTAGCACAGTGAGTGCTTAACTTTCATACTCAGCCAGTAAACACAGGTGTGATCATGGACGAAGGGACAGAGTTTCTGGGGGATGCCAGGGGGCCCAGGGCTGTGCTTATACCCTGTATCTGTCAGCAGCCAAGGCCTCATCACAGGTGGGCTACTGGTGTGCACTTCTGTGCTCCACCTGGCCCTTACGCTCTTGTTTTGGGTGGTCATGAGCATACTGCTGCTTGGCAGTTCTGAGAGCAGGCTTTGGGTCCCTAGGAGACCTCTGACAAGAGTGTGATAGAGCTACAGCAATATGCCAAGAAGAACAGGCCCAACCTTCACATCCTGAGCAAGCTGCAAGAGGAGATGAAGAGGCTGGCTGCAGAGCGGGTAATTATCTCCCTTTCCCACTTCTTCTCCAGGCCTCCTGTCTCCCTACCCCCTAAACTCACCATCTACTGCTGCAATCCCCTGTACTGTTTCTGCCCATACCACAGTTACTGAGTTATCAGGATTGCTGGGTCAGCTCCTTCCTTGTAGCTAGACCTTAGGAGCCCCTTTCTGATCCCTGATTCTGAAGGTGCTTAATTCCTCCTTCCAGATGAAGTTGACTTTTCTTTAAGTTCTAGCATGCATGACACTTTCCTAAAACACCAAGTTAGAGAGCAAACAGGCTAGCCTTTTAGTGGCTAAAGGTTCCAATTTGAAGTTGGGTATGTATTAGGGCAAGGATTGTATACTGGCTTTTTACTGGGTAACTCAAAGATCATAGAATGGTTAATCCTGGGTAGAACTTGTTAGTCTTGGTGGAGCTTCCTAAAACTGCCATAGCTGCCCTATCCCAAGTGGGCTCTGTTACTGACATTGTTTCCTGGCCTTAGGAAATATAGCCACTCATACCCTTAGGCCTTGTGAGTTGGGAACCATTCCAGCTCTGCTGAAACTGGTCCAGGTATGAATACAAACTCTGAGGACCAAGTGTCTATTGCTACTTGTCCTTCTACTGCTCTGAGATGGGAGTGAGCCTTGTGTGTTGGAGTAAGCTTGACTCTTTTTGGGAGATTAGTTAGTTGTGGGGATTAAGGCAACACGCCTAAGACACACAGTTCTATTTGTGGGGGAAATTCAGTGGGCTTCCAGGCAAGCAAGACTAGGATAACACTTACCCTGGTGGGGTGGATCCCAGCTTGTTGCAATTTCTTCCGTTCTGGGTGTCTCTAGATTGCCAGGGAAGCAGCAGCACATGGGAGTCTACCCTGGCATTCTGAGGAGACCCTCCTGGCCTGGCCCAACCCAGCCCGCTCCCTGTACCTTCCCTCCTAGCCAGGTATCACAAGCATTTGTGCTCTCGGAATTCAGGGGCTCCCACCCTTTCACCTTTGTGAACTTCTTTGCTGGACCCACCTCTAACACTGTTGACCTCTGTTCTTCCAGGAGGAGACTCGGAAGAAGCCCAAGATGTCAATTGTAGCATCTGCCCAGCCTGGTGGTGAGCCCTTGTGCACAGTGGATGTATGAGGTAGGCGGCTTGGGCCAACAGTGCTACCCAGGAGACTACCAGCCACACGTCACTGCAGCACCAGGCCTCCAACCTAAGTTCCTTCCTGTGGCAGTGTCTGGGCTCTGCTCTGGCACGTGGGGACAGCTGTGACCACACAGCACACATGCAAAGAAGCAGTTCTTCTGGAAGATGCTCTCAGTGTGACTTGACATATTTAAGAATCAGCTATAAGTAACTGCACAAGTGGAAGCTGATAGACAGCTGTAGATCCTGCTTGTACGTATCTGCTGCTGATTGTTTTTATGAAGGTTTTCATGAATTTTAGTACACTATATGCACTGACAAGAAGTGATACTTGGTTGATAGATGAGATGACCAGGTTTTATAGCTTTGGCTGGCCTATGATGCCAGGTAGTCCCTTTGCCCATGGTTCCTTCTGGTGGAGCCAGTGAGACCTGGTCAGAAGGTGCAGGTATCCTGTTCTGTAGTTATTACCTGCTTTGTCTGTTCCCCATTTTCCTCTGAAAAAGTTATAACAGAAAGGATTATTTCAGGCTATTTTGGCTTAAAATAAACAAAATTTTAGCACCAGAACTACTTTTCAGAGATTGCAGTGAAGATACTGAACTGTCAAGATACTGAGTGTTAATCCGGTTGGCTCTTGGGTTGCAGTCTACATTTTTGATGTCTTAATGCCCTCACAGCTGTCTTCTGGATACCTAAGCTACCACCTTTGATGAATTCTAACAAGAGTTTTTTACAAAGATTTTTGCACAATCAAGTCCATCTGTTTATCAATTTTTAAAGCTTTTATGATGTTTTAGAATTTGGAAAAACTTTTACAGTGAAAATGGAAGATAGATTTAGAATCATGTGTTTCTAATAGATGGACTTGTATAAATAGGAAACAGGGCCTTCAGTGCAGTCCATCACTGACCAAGAGCTGGCATTGCATGTGACAACTAGTTATGGCTTCTCTGGATCTCAAGCATGGCTGCTCTGTGCAGCTAGGCCTGCTGGCAGGTTTAGTTTTTTTGTCCACCTATGCTCATTATGTAGCCCTTTGAAATGGGTATTAAGTAGAGGTGTATTGAGAGCCTGAGTCTTGGTCAGTGTTGGCCTATCCCAATACTTGTTCAAAGGGGCTATACTCAAGTTCTCAGGTGTGTCTCTCATCTGTACCTGAAGATACATGGATTGCATGTGTTGTCAGAAAGACAGGACAACAGCTATGGGTATCCCAACACTATATTCCTCCCTAATCACCTGTGTGACAGCAGTTAATTTCTGTGTTAATCTTGGCAAATTGGCAAAAAGAACCCTTCAAATCAAGTTGCTAGAATTGGACACTTGATTCCTTCTTTCTTGCCTTCCATTCACAGTTGTGATTGGGCTTTTGACTGCCCTTCAAACAGATTTGCCTTTGAGAAAGCCTTGAACACATGGTCATGGTGATCTTTTTATAGCCCCCTGGCCCAGCCAATATCAACAACAGGTGCTGCCACACACTCTTGGCCTCCAGTGCCCTCCCTGTCTCTTACAGGTGGGTGAGTCTTAAATGCACAGCCATGCTACAATGCTGGGAGCCTGTGTGGATGCTGGCCATGGCTGTAGGACACACCCTGATGGTCTGAACACATAAAACTGTCCAAAAGGGAATGGCTTGTTTCTTTCTTCCGATTAGAGTACTTAATGTTTGTGACTCTGCAACTGGCCAGATAGTCCTGGAGTACACAGTCAACCCCATGTAAACTCAGCATAGATGTGCACTCAGCAGTTACTACCTGCAGGGGCCATCCTCAGGGCTCACTCCCCCAGAATGATTGATTGGGGCTAAATTTAAGCGATCCCTGGCATTCCATTAAGTACACAGTGAAGCTGGGCACAGTGGCACACATAGGCTGACCTATAACTCCTGAGTGCTGGGAGTTATAGACCTGCAGCACCAAGGAAGTTTAACATGAAAGGTCTTGAGTTCAAGATCAGCTGCAGACTGAGTCTCCAATCCTTGCCTCTGAAAGGATTGGCCTGAGGACCTACTCTGTTGTACCTTAATGGATAGCAAGTAGGAATGAGTCAAGGCTCTGGCTCTCACCACAAAAACATCAGCAAGTCAACAATTGTTTATTTTAGAGTTTGGCAGTCCCTTTACAGGACACAGGTGTTCATACTCTTTGAATTGATACCAGCTAGGGTAGGCCTCATGCCTACCACCATCTTAGTAGGAAGCTATAAGGAGTTCCTAGCTTTTGTTCTGCAGTTCCCAGAATCTAGGATGAGAGAGCAATCTCTGTTTCCAGTGGGGTGGTATCAGGAAGATTTCTTGGAGTTTGAGAGTCTTGATGCCCCAGGGTTCCTATGCCGTTAGGATGTTGTTCCATCCTCTCAAACAGGATAAGCATTTCGCAGTGTGGAGTCTGTGGGAACAGGTCTACGGCCACAGCCTTGACTGGATGGAATGGGATGCCTTTTACTCGGTTAGACGGGGCCCTGCAGAGGCTGTGGTGGGAAGGAGGTACCAATATTAGTTAGCCCTAGGGGTTCCTGTAGATGGCAGTGCTATCATGGTATATCCTCCATCCCCTCTTCCCCCACTTACTCCACAAAGTTGCTCATGGCTGCCCGGGGATTGCAGGAAACATACAGGAGTCGCTTGATGTTCTCAGCTCTACGAATGGCCAGAATCACCTTGGAATCTGACAAGGCAGGCACAGAGGGGCTAGTTTCTCCTAGTAGTAGACTACCCAATATAGCATTTTTTTTTCTTCTGGTGCTACCTCCCAAAATGGAAGCCACTCACGTAGGCCAGCCCGTGGTGGGTCTAGGACAGCTACAAGTTGCTGGGAGGACAGTCTGCTCACCAAGCCTGGCACAAGATCCTCAGCTCTGCCGCAGTGGAACTCAACATTGCTCAACTCTAGAAGACAGTGTTATAGTTGTCATAGGTGGACCTCACAGGCTTAGAGAGCATGCAGCCCAAGCTTTTGCCTTCAGCCAGAGGTCTGTAGAGGGACCCACTTCCCCAGAAGAGCCTTAAACCCTCAAGACAGGTTGTAGACCACCTGCTTGTGTGTTGTGCTTGCAAAGGTTCTCACCATTGGTGAGGGCATTTACACGGGCATCCTCCACAGCCTCCTGGCACAGTTCAATCCCAACTACTCTCTTCACCTTCTGAAATAGAGAGTTATCATTTCCCTGGTTACTCAGAAAAGGAAGAGACAACACAACTGGGCTGTATCTGGGAGGTGACAATGGCTAGCCTCGGCACTCAGGGAGATGTCTTTACCTGGGGCTGGAGGCTTACCTGGGCCAGGGCCAGGCCTATGGTTCCAGTGCCACAGCATACATCCAGCACGGTACTGCTCCCATCCAACTGAGCCCATTCCTGGATAACTGTGTAGAGCACCTCAGCTGCAGGCGTGTTTACCTGGAGGTTAGTTAGCCATGGTGTACTCCAGTGTAGGCTAGCGTCCCCACTGCCTGTATACCAGTGACCTCATCCACTCTCCTGGCTTTTAAAGACTAAATCCTTACAACACAGCCCCATCAATGGGGAGCTTTTTTGTGTATTTAACAACTGTTTTCCCTAGACTGAGTGACATATGCTAGAGACCTTCGAATCGTTCCCTTCCATCTCTATAGTAGAGTTTTCCACAACAGTAAGAATATCTCTGAAAGCTAAGGAGACTACTACCATAGTACCCTGTTCTGGGTAGGCAGGAGACAATAAGGCTACAAATATTGGGCTAACCACAAAGTAATCAGTGGCAAATCACGCCTGGGCCATTACCTCGTTGTCTATAAATCTCTTCAAGGCTAGTTACTACTCTCCCTATTTTCCCCTTCACACCACACTTGCTGTCACACCCAGCCTCCCTTCCTGTGCCTTTGTGTTCATAAGGGATACGCTACCTGGAAGAATGCATGAGGGGAGATGCGGAAGGTCAGGCCCAGTAGATCCTCCTGGATGCACTGGTCACCAGCCATATGCTCCAGGGGCAGGCCTTCCTGGCTGGGAGTCTTCCTACATGAGAAGCAACAGATCTGTCGGTGTCACTGGCCTACCTGAATGAAAACCTTTTCTGTCCCCACCTGAGCTCCTCACCTCTGTCCCTCCTCCACAAAGTAGAGGCAGGTCACCCCACTGGCCTTGCCTGGTCCTTCCATGAAATGGTACACCAGGGAGGCCTTCAGCCCTGCCACCTCCTCCGAGCTCAGTTTCTGCAGGAGAGAATACAAAAGGCCCATCAGACTAAGCCTAAGTCAACAAGAACTCCCCCAACAAGACCACTGCCTGAGACCTGGGGGTGGAAGTAGACAATGGCCATGGCCTGGCCTCTGCGGCTGGTCCGAACAGTCAGCTGCTTCCAGTGGCCTGTATATGTCTCGGGATCATATGCCAAGTATGGGGTGGACCTGAGGAAACCACAAGCGCCTCTTAGTACCTGGTGTGAGCCTGTCTGTCCCAGCACCCTGCCTCTCACCCCACAACTGCCAGGCAGGGCCCACACCCTCTGCTCCCAGATGGATTGGGACTTCCCAGGAACCCAACCCCAGGCCAGGTCCCCACCGAATGAATTCCTGGAAGGCCTTCACCACCTGCTTAGTGGCCTCTGGAATGTGCACAGTGTCAAAGGGGGCTGCCACAGCACAGGTTCCACCCCTGTACTTGCCAAGCCGGCAGCCAACAGTGTTGTCTTCTCCATCTACCCCAACTCCGACCAGAAACTCACACTTATTACGATATTCAGTCTGCAGGAGAGAAGGTGGCAAAGAAGCAGCCAGATCTCAACTTCGATTGCCCAGCACCAGGAGAAACACCATAGTGAACAAGAGATCCTGATAGGGTTGGCAGGCAAAACAAGGTTTTACTGCTGGCTTGTCTAACACCAGGAAGAAATAAAAAGCAAGAAAATGTCAAAGAGGATAAGGAAAGTTCATAGAAAATAGCATGATGCACTGGCCCAGCATTAAAGTACATGCCTAATGTGTAAGGCCCTGGGTTTTACCCCAGCACTGCATGACAAAACTAAACAAGGCCAACCTCCCCACTCCCCACACATAGAATGGGGTTTTGTAGTCAGCCTGACCTGCTGGGGTGATGGCCTGATCCCCTCCAGTGGGCAACAAGCCTTATTGTGTCGTTGTCTCTGAGTGAGCAGCCAGGGTAGCAGGGCACGGTTAGTGCTCCCAATTTCCCTGTAGAATGAAGCACATCCTGGAGTTACATCCCTCCCCACACACATGAGGCAGCTCCCCTGAGACCTATCCCCACTGGTACCATAGGGGCATTACTAACCAGCTCCTTGGTTGGTCACTTAGACCAGGTGGTTCTCAACGTTCCAGATGCTGCAACCTTCTGATACAGTTCCTTACATTGTGGTGGCCTTAACCATAAAATTATTTGGGGGGCTATTTTATAACTAGTTTTGCTACTGTTACGAATTGTAAATATCTTTTCAATGGTCTTAGATGACCTCTGTAAAAGAGCCTGACTCACCCAAGAGGTCATGACCCACAGGCTGAGACCTGCCCCGAACAAGTGGGTGCCCTGAACAGAGTACAGGGGTGGTGAAGGCCAAGGGAAAACCCAGCTCTGGCAGGGATGTCAGTGCCACACTCACTTGGCCAGCTTCTGTAGCACACGCTCACATTCCTGCCGCTTCTGCTCCAGCTGCTCGGAGTAGGGCACTGTCCAAAGAGGGGTCACCACGTCGGCAATCTGCGTAACTGATGGCTCACCATCACCTTCCTGCCGCCGCTTCCTAGCCATGGGGTCAGCCTTGGGGCGAGCCAGGCGCACGCTGAGTGGGCGGCCTTTCCAGAGAGCGCCGTGCAGCACTCGCAAGGCCTTGTCTCGTTCAGCGGCGCTGCGAAATGTTACAAAGGCACATGGTGGTTGTCCAAAGAGTTTAATTTTGTGGGATTGTAGGCCAAAACGGCCCAAAAAGCGCCGGACGTCACTGAAGCTGGCATGGCGAGGCACATTTTGCAGCTCCAGTTTAAAGATCTCTGAGGTGAACAGGTCATCCCTTATGTAGCTGTAGAGCCCAGGCTGAGTTCCAGGCCCTGCAGCTGGTCCAGGCTGTTCCTGACATTCTGGGACTGCAGGGCTGTGTGCTGCACTGGCATCTGGGCCGCAGCCCTCCATGTGCTCCGGAACCTGTGTGGGCAGACGGGCCAGGCTGAGCTGTAGTTAGCATGGCTACCGCCTGGGGCTAGCTCTCTAAACCACACTGCCAGAACTCCATTAGCGAACATACACCCAGCCCTGCCCAGACCCGCTCCTTTCTATTCTTGATACCCAGTTTTCCCCCATCCTAGCTCCGATCCAGCATTAATGACTGCTACCCAACCCCACCAGGTCCACATCTCCTGTAGCTCTCTCCCTTTGCTTTACTTCCGTGTCCAGCTTCTCACTCATCGCCTGGCTCGTCTGTCGTCCGGATCAGGGTGCTCACGAGGGCCACCACCTAAGTCTCACACACGAAGTGCTCAGAAATTAAGTGTGACGCCGTAAGGGTATACTCGGCTTCTCCTTATGCAGGAGAGGTACTCAAAACTCGGGTGCACAGGACTAGCACTGGGGGCTGGTGATGCACCATCCGCTCCCCGGAACACAGGGAAAGTCACACGCCTCGCCTACCTCCAGTAGGCCAGTGCGCACTAGCGGCGCCTGGTTTCTCTAAGGGCTCGGCTTCCGATGACGTCACCGCCACGCGCCGAATCCTGACTGATCCTTCCACCAGCCGCTCACACTGACGTCAGAGACTCTTAGAGTTTGCCGACGGAAGTGCGCGCGTGGGTCGCCGGGAGAGCGCGCTCCCCAGGCTGAGGCGCGGCCGGGCATGCGCCGCGGGCATTTTGGCGGGAAGCGCGGGGCGGGCCGGACAATGAATGTCCGCCGTCAGAACCAATAAAGCTGCAGTGGTTTTGAATCACCGCGCGTTTCCCGCCGCTGGGGTCAGAGGTCAGGGTTCGGGTCGTGGGGCGGAGGATAGAGCGGACGGGCGGGAGACGCCGGCGCCAGACGCGGAGGAAAAGGAGCTGCGACTTGACTAGCCTGCCCAGAGGCCGCCGAGCCGCGACGCCTGAGCCAGTGGAGCCGCCGTCGCCGCGCCCCCATGGCGGCCGCCAAGGTACGGCGAGGCCCGGGTGGGGCCCGGCAGGCCGGGAGGCAAGGGCCGCTATGGGCGGCCACGTGGGCGGCCCGCGCCTGGGCCGCCAACCCTCGCTGGCCTGCGGGTTCGGGCCCTGTCGAGGCGCCTGGACCTGGGGGTCTCGAAGTCTTTGGGTTCCGGGAGTGGGAGCTGCTGGCCAAGACTCGGGTCTCGGGGGCTGCGGGGAGGCGCGTGACCTTGTGATGTGCGTAAGAGAAGCCATCACCACACCGGGCTCCCGGCTTTGCCTGGGGGCCTGGTAGCAGCCGGTTTCCTTCGTCTTGGCCCCCTTGTGATGTTTCCACCAGCATCGGGAAACCCTTCTTCCAGTTGCCCACAGATCCCTTCATTCATTCGGTCATTACGCCTGGAACCGCCACCTCCTTCGGTGGCGGAAGCTAGCGTTCCAGCGCGGGGTACAGATTGTTAGAAGCGCGGACTCAGGGCGGGGGCGGCTTTGTTGGTGGCTCGCGTGTCGGCCGCAGCGGAGCCGCAGTGCTGTGAAACCGAACGAAGGGCTTCTATGTCTTTATCCTGTGGAGTTAGGTAGTGTGAGTCTGGGTTTTTTTTCTGTATTATCAAAGCACGTGATCTTGTCCAGATTTAAACCTGCATGCCCTTGTAATCCTTCAAGTTGGATCAGAATCTTAGGACTTATTTGTCAGTTTTTTTAGCTTTTTCAGCTTAAATTTCCAAGCTTGTAAAATTGCTGGAGGAATGTAAATGCTAGTAGTCCAGTAGCAGTTTATCTTCCTAGTAAACTAACAAGTGCTTCGATAATCCTCAGTAGAAACTGTTAAGGTTCCTCTTCCTTTTGAATTCATTTACAGAGAAGGGAGTTTCTCCCAAGCTACTTTGCCATGGACTGTGGTATGTGTGTGGAACTGATTGATGCTTGGATGTGCAGGGTGGGTGTTAAACAACCCATTGTCTTGTTGCATGCTGTCTTGTGATTTTGTGATGCTGGTTGTAAATGCAAACTGTTATGTCAAAGACAGAAGACTTATTTTCCAGTTTAGGGGAGGCCTGCCTTCGTTTTCCAGGTGCCATTTGTGATTGGTGATGGATGCCCGCTGTGGGCCAAGTTCATCAGCAGTACATCACTCTCCTTCCCTCTCTGCACAGGACAGTCATGAGGACCATGATACCTCTACAGAGAATGCAGACGAATCCAACCATGACCCCCAGTTCGAGCCAATAGTTTCTCTTCCTGAGCAAGAAATTAAAACACTGGAGGAAGATGAAGAGGAGCTCTTTAAGATGTAAGTCTGCTGAGGTGTCCCTGGAAGTATCTTTAGGTGGGGTGATGAGACAGAGAAATGGCCCCAGTAAGAAGCAGGTCTCCACAGGGCATTTCTTTAAAAACTTGCAGAACCCAACAACCACAGTTTGGGGACTCTGGAGGAGTCAGCCAAGCTAGGAGCTCTGCTGAGTAGTTTCTCTTGTGCCTGAGTATAAGCCCTATGGATACTTTATGGCATTAGCCTCTTTGTGATCTCTGTCTGGAACTTTGCAGAAGAACCCTGGGTTGACTGGGCACATTATGACCCCTGTGAATCTCATGGCTTGGCCCTAGTTTGATAAAGGCTGTTTTAAGAAAAGGCCTGGAGTTGTGGTGACTAGTCTTACATTGACAATTGAACCATTCATCTGCTAAACCTTTCCTGCTGCCCTTGCTTCCTTGTGGCCAGCCATATAAAGGGTGTCCCCATCATTGTTCTGTCACCTGGGTGTCTTCCCCAGCTGATCTTGCACCTTGCCTCCAAGAATCAGTATTTCAGCAGACTGTGGCATTCACACCTTTAATCCCAGTACTTGGGAAACAGAGGCAGATAGATCTCTGGGTTCTAGGACAGCCAGGGCTAGCTACATAGTGAGACCTTGGGGGTGGGGGCTTCCTTCCTTTGTTGAGCAGGGAAAATCTTAACTTTCTTTCCTTTTCTTCCTTTCTGCTTTGTTTTCTGTTGCCTTAACTGGGTATCCTTAAAGAACAGGTTTGTTTAGCTCTCGTTTGGTTTGTTGTGTTTTTTTTTTTTTAATTTTTATATGTGTATGGGTGTTTTGCCTACATGGATGTCTCTACACAATGTGCAGCCTGGTGCCCAAGGAGGCCAGAAGAAAGCAGCGGATCCCTGGGGACTAGAGTTACAGACAGTTTTGAGTTGCCATGTGGTCCTCTGGAAGAACAGCCAGTGCTCTTAACTGCTGAGCCATCTCTCCAGCCTCCAGCTCATGGTTTTGCAGGTTAGGAAGTCTGAGATATGAGAGCATAGTGCTAGCATTTGGTATGGGCCTCAGTCATGTCTTAATGTGGCAGTGTGTCATGTAGTAAAATCAAGAAGCTTGCTAATTTCAGTCTGTCTGTTATATACCCACTAGTGCCATTGTTCAGTCCCTTTGATTCCATCTAACTCTCTTTATCTTCTAAAGGACACTTCTAATGTCATTAATGTGAGTTTGGAAATTAAGATAATGCATAAACTATAAGGTCACACACCCTCAAACCTGTAGCCTACTTGTGCCTGGTTCTGTGTCTTGCACAAAATGCCAGGGGAAGTGGCTTAATTATCAAAATTGCTTTTTAAAGGCTACCTTGTATTTGCCACTTGGAACCTTCAATGAACTGTAGCAGTACTTTAGTAAACTTTGATTTTGCTGTTGTCTTGTTTTACTGGCCCGGTGATTGAACACATACTAGGCATAGATTATACTGAGCTGTATCTCCAGCACACACACCCCTCCCCCCACATTTCACACACCTGGTCTTGAACTTGCCATTCACTTGCTTCAGCGTCCTTAATATCTGAAATTACAGACCTGTGCCATCAGCCAAGATAGCAAAGCACAGGCTGTCTTGTATCTAGTTTTGCATCACAGCAGAGACTGGCTTGTTGTTGCCTGTGCTCAGAATTACTGGACACTGGGTTCAGGTACATGCTAACAAAGGTTGTTGCTGTCTCTGGCATCTCCCTCTTTCAGGTATGTCTAAAATGTCAGATTAAGGTTCATCTGCTCTTATGAAATGGGGGAGGGAGCCCTGCTCAAGGAGAGCTGTAAGTCTACTTTTGTGTCCAGAAGGTGATGCGCTGATCTGCAGCGCCTGGGAAGGGTGGCATCCCTGGAGTTAGGTGGTATTTGATTTTTGTCAGTGCGGTGTTGCAAGGACTCCTGGTTTCCTCCGCAGGGTCCTTGGTGTGTTCGGGGGACCAGCATCTTGGGCCTTATATCAGGGCCTTTGGGTTTTCTCTTAAGGAATTGGGTGAAGATGTAGTCTCCCTTGACAAAATTTGAGTTTGGAGGAGAGCAGAGGCTTTGATAGAGGAGAAGCAGATGAGGACTGCAGAAGAAGGAAGAATATTGACTCGGCTTGAGGGACAGGAGCACTGGACTCTGCTGGTTCTAGGTGCCTGAACCCTGGGACTATAAAGGTTGCTCCTGACAAGAAGCTGGTGCTGGACCTGGTATCCCTGAGGCTTTGTGTAGTTTAAAGGTTCCCATGTAGTGTGACTGTCACCCAGCTCTCGGGAGCTTCATCACCCACCCTTGAGCCATGTGTGCCTTTAGATGCCTCTCTTAGGGAAAATGCTTCTGCTAGGAATATCTTTCTGGCTGTGAAGTAAAAGCAACATGGAATTTGCTGACTATTTGCTTCCCTGGGTGGTATTTTGATTAGTAATTCTTGGTGCCCAAAGGCCTTAGAAAAGGTGTCCCAACAATATCCTTACATTCAGCGTCCAGAGAACACGTGTTCTTTTGGGGTAATTGGTCTAAGTGTGAGTTCCCTCTCTGTTTAAATGTTTCCTTACTGGTTTTTCTTACAGGAGAGCAAAGCTATTCCGGTTTGCTTCAGAGAATGACCTTCCAGAATGGAAGGAGCGAGGCACCGGTGATGTCAAGCTCCTGAAGCATAAGGAGAAAGGGACCATCCGCCTTCTCATGAGGAGGGATAAGACTCTGAAGATATGCGCCAACCACTATAGTAGGTGGTCTTTCAGGTCTATATGCCTAGGAGCTGGTTACCAGGTTGTGGGGAGGATTCAGACAAGCCTCTGAATTATGACCAACGGAGGTTACAGAATACTGACTGGCAGGATAGGTCTAGGGTGGGTGTAGAGCTCCAGGATAGACTCAGATGGTGATGCAGTGGGCTCGTGTTTATGTATTACCTGGGCAAGTTGTGGGGTCTGGTGTCAAAGCTATTTCCAGTTTCTGATACGCTCTACCCCCAGCTGTTCCCTGGGGTGATACAAGAAGAGAACAGGGCTGGAAAGATGGTGAGGGAGCGGAGGGCTCTCTTGGCCAGGTGTGGCCCTGTGCGTCTAAAAAGCATCTCAACAATCCATCCTTGCCCTGTTTGTCTTCTATGGAGCCATCTTAGGCTGGTCTTGGTCCTAGTAGATCTAGTGCAAAAATCTATATTTTCTATGTTTAAATGTCTTGTTTTCCGGCCAGGCGGTGGTGACGCACGCCTTTAATCCCAGCACTCGGGAGGCAGAGGCAGGCGGATCTCTGAGTTCGAGGCCGGGCTGGACCGATAAGCCTCCAAAACAATACAGAGAAACCCTGTCGTAAAAACCAAAAAAAAAATGTCTTGTTTTCCTCATGAGTCTGCGTGTGGAAGACAGTGTAGCTTTGTGTGGAGTCTGTTCTCCCCTAACACCTTTAATCAGGTTCTGATGTTAAACTGGGATCTCTGGGCTTGTGCAGTGCAGGTAGTCCTTTATCTACTGAATGCATTTTTTCTTGCATTTGTGTGAGCATGAGCCGTGGCTGTGGCTGTTGAAGGATAACTTGTGGGCACTGTTCTCTCCTTTCACCTTGTGGGTTCTGGAGATGGGACTACTCAGGCTGTTGGCAAGTGCCTTTACTGAGTAAGGCAGCTTACAGACCCCGAATGTGCATTTTCTAGCTGACCAGGAGCCTTTGTCCTGAGCACATAGGCTGACTAAGGGGGAGGGGCCTTAACAAGTGGTTTTGCTGAGGCAGGGACATGAAAAAGATCTTGGCCCTTGCTACCTCACAGTTGCCTCGGTCTCCCCTCAGTCCCAGTTTGGAGGGTTCCCTTGGGAGTGAGCCTCAAGCTGCTCCCAAAGCCTAGCTAGGTTCCTGAGTGATCTTTACCAGCAAGCTTCTCCACCTGGCTGGGGCTCCTTATCTCATGCATCTCATAGGCCTTTGGTTGTTGTGAGTCAAGGTTGGGCATTGTCTTAGTTATCAGTGTTCTATTGCTGTGAAGAGACACTGTGACCAAGGCAGCTCTTAGAAAAGAAGTCATTTAATTATGGCTTGCTTGTGTTTCCAGAGGGTTAGTCCATTATCATGGCAGGAAGCAGACAGGCATGGCGCTGGAGCAGTAGCTGAGAGTTCTGAAACCTCAGAGCCCACCTCCAGGGCCACACCTCCTAATCCTTCCAAACAGTTTTTCATCTGGGAACCAATCGTGCAAATATTTGAGCTTCTGGGTCATTCTCAGTGAGACCACCATGAGCTGCTGCAGCTCAGATACCTGGGCTCCAGCTTTGACTGTTGTGTGGAACTGGTCAGATTAGTTCCTATCTTTCAGTTAGCCAGGTTCATGTTGGTGTGAGCATGTGTTTGTTGGACCCCCTTAAGAAAGCTTGAGCCTGATATGCAGAGCCTGTGTTTCAGGGTCCTGACCTTGTTCCCTCATGGGGATTATCCTGATTTTAAGTAGATATGGTTGGCATTAGTTAGTGGCTAGAGTTGTGTAGGCTTGTGTTAAAATTCCTTCCTAGGGGCAGACATAAGCAATGCCTGTACTTCTGAGGTTCCAATGACAAATCTAGGTGTGATGCCATCATAGTTTACTTTGGGGAACCAATTAATGTACTGGGCTTTCTTAAAAGGTCAAAGGTGAGGTGTTACTTAGAGGGGTATGGGTGCTCCCCACCCCATCAGGCTGTGCCTGGAAAGCCTTGACCTAGCAGGGATGATGGTTTCTCCATAGGTGGAGACCCTCTCTCTCCCCTAGTCTTTCACAACCTAATACTCTAGCCCCTCCTGGCAGAGGGCATATGCAATTAGCTACACACAGCCAATGGCAGGGAGCGGCTGGTTACTCCAGTGAGTCTCTGACCCTCTCCACCCTTGAGGGGAGATAAACAATCAAGCCCAGTTGGGTAGTCTGCAAGTAGGCACAGTTGAATGCTTCAATATGGTGGTTGCTTGGCTCAGAGGGTAATTGGGTACAACAGCTTGGATCTTAGATCACAGAATCCATGTTGGCTCAAGTGGGTCCCTTATTTGATAGGCAGGTTGCTCTGGGTGAGGGCTGGGTGGTTGGGCCGAGGGTCCTACTATCCTTACAGGCTTCTCTCTTTTAGTCACACCGATGATGGAGCTGAAACCGAATGCTGGTAGTGACCGAGCCTGGGTCTGGAATACCCACGCCGACTTTGCTGATGAGTGCCCCAAGCCTGAGCTGCTCGCCATCCGCTTCCTAAACGCTGAGAGTAAGCAGAGCTTGCCTAACTGGGGGTCACCTGCTGGGAAGCTGCTGCATGGGGAACTCGTAAGGGTCTGTATAAATAGTTGTCACACCCAGTTGACTCCATCAAGTATGTGAACAGAGAGACACCCTAGAGTTTCTTCTTGCTGCTGCTTCTGCTTGGTTTCTGGTTCCTCCAGGCTGGGACACTGGTGTCTTCTACGGATGCTTGGGCACTTGTTCCAGCAAAGACTGCAGGGATCTGCAAGCCCTGGCTGATCCCTCTTCCATGAGGGAAACTTTCTAGTCTCAATTGCTACAAAACTATGCCCTGGGAATCATGGAGAGTCAGCAGGTACCATGGCCAGTGCCCTAATGGCTGGTGCTCCTGTGAAAGTGAACCTTGCCCTTGGTCTGGGAGTGTAATATGTGTCTGGTAGCCCTTCTAACAGGAGTAGAGCCTGTAGCAAGAAGGGAAGGGCCTTGGTCCTTGGCTATCTGAATTGAGACAACTGAGCACAGCCACTGTAGGTGTTAGATGGTCAGAAGCTGCCATTAGGGTTGGGCATGGTAGTACATGCCTTTAATCTCAGTGCCTGGGAGGCAAAGGCAGGCCAATCTCTTGAGTTCTAGGACAGCCAGGGGTAAGTATCAATAGTGTTAAAGAAAGAAAGAAAGGAATTGCCACTGGGAATCATGAATTGGCTCTTCAGAACTTTGGGGTGTTGTTGCTATTCTGCTCTGAGAATGCTCACACAGTCTCTTCTCTCTACAGATGCACAAAAGTTCAAAACAAAGTTTGAAGAATGCAGGAAAGAGATTGAAGAGAGAGAAAAGAAAGGTGACATGGTGCCCCTGGGGGTGGCGAGGGTGGGTGGCAGAGCTTCCTTGCAGATTCACTCTGCATCTGGCTGCATCTCCAGTCTGGTGCTTTTTCTGTCTGCCAAAGAAACATTCCAGGGTGCTGTGACTGCCTCTGCCTATGGGGGTCATGCAGCTGTCTGGGGACACGTGATTCCTTGGAGGCTTTGACCTCATGGCATTTGTACTCGGTTTCAGGTACATAGCTGAGTTAAAGGGCTTTTAAGATACTCCTCACTTTCTCTCAGGGAATTCTGTGTCCTGGTCACTTCCTAACAGATGAGGCCTGTGTTAGGAAGTGACCGTACATCACTGAACAGCTCAGTGGGTACCACCAGCAGCTTGCTGGGACCTCTTGAGCCCATCTGAGGAGAATGGTGGGTGATGCTTAGGGTGAGGCCGAGAGCAGTGCAGTCTCACAGCCAGACTTCTCTGTTGTCTTACTGCCTTTGCCTGTTTTTGCAGGACCAGGCAAAAATGACAACGCCGAAAAGGTGGCTGAGAAGCTGGAAGCCCTTTCTGTGAAGGAGGCCAGAGATGAGGCTGAAGAGAAATCTGAGGAGAAGCAATGAATCACTCTCTGTCCTTTTCCTTTCTTTTTCTTTTTAAAAATTTCCCCACCCTTTAAGGTTTTTATTCTGTTTTGTTTTTACAAGGGACTTTATAAAGAACTGAATTCCAACCTTCAGGTTTTTTTTTTTTCTCTCCCTAAGTTTTGACACCATTGAACATGACTTCAGAAATCCATTCCCCAGTCATGAAAATGTACTGTGCTAACTTTCTTTTCCATAGTGGAAACACTTATTTATAGTCATCAAAAATAGTGAATAAAAAATGCCTTTGAAAACCTGGACCAGCTGGCAAGGCTGTGTAGGGGAAGCGGGGGCACACCTGTGTGCCTGAGTGTGCATTGCAGGTCTGCACAGCCTGATTTCTTAGGAGAATCAAGTGGTGTGCTCTTCTGTGGGTCTTATGGAACAGTGGACACTATGGCATGGTTTGCCCACACTGGTCCTAGAGGCTACAAGGTGTGTGGGGTGGCAGCTGAAGAGCCCAGTGGGGCTGAGCATTCAGGGCCAAGGTGTACGGTTTCCTGCGGGTGGAACTATTACTTTGTGCCCTTGTATAGTTTGGCTGGGCTCTGTGTGTGTGTGTGAGTGAGTGAGTGATGAAGTCTACTACAGTACTCTGACCTTGGTGAAGGGGGCGTAATAGGCAGCCTTTCAGGTCTGGCTATTGAGAAAACAGGTTTTGATTGGCTGTGGTTAATGAGGCAACCCTTAGCTCAGTGGAGGGAAAGACCACCCTGGAGATGTGTATTCATTCTAGTGCTATGTCACAGTGTAGCTGTGGCTAGTTAGTCCTTTGACCCTCCTATTGGAAACCATTAGATGCCCTAACACATATTCTGGGCTTGAAGTCTAAACTCAGCACTGTTAGGATTATGGGACTAGAATAAAACTTGCCAATGTGGGCCAGGAGAGTCTGAGTTCAGTTCTAAGCACCAACATCAGGCTCCTCACAATTAACTCAAGCTCCAGGGAATCAGACCCCCTCTTTGCCTGCTCAGTTAGCACATACAAGTGAAATATGCATATGTATGTATACAGGCACAAGAAAGCCCTGATGTATGTATTATGGGCTGACATGGGCCTCAGAACTGCACCAACCCTGCCTTTCACAGGGTAGGAGCCAGGGTGGCCTGATCCCTTAATAAGAGGAACTGCTGGTCACTTGGTACCTGTCTACCACTAACACCTGCTTTGGAGTATGGCTCTCTGGTCTCCATCTGTCAATTTGTTTATTATTACTGACCCTGTTATGTCTGACCTTGTCAGAGTGGGTGTGCTTACAAATAGAGCTTTTCTTTTTATAAATTGTTAAGTTAGCATTCAGTTTTCATTGTGACATTCCATATAGGCATATTGTACTTTGTTCATATCCACACTGCCTCACCCCTTAAAGTACTTTTTCATTCCTCCAGCTGGTTTTTAAAAGCCAGTTTAAGACCACTGGCAGTCTCTTGCCTTTCTCCATCCCAGGAAGAGATTTGCACATATAATGGGGCTTGATGAACTGGAATTGTGACATTAACTACAGATGGCCTTCAATGTACTTTGTAGAAGAGCTCTTTGGTCTTCCTCAAGGGAAGCCCTGGACCAGGGTGCATTCATTTCAACAAGGCAAAGTAACCCTTTGCCTTGAGCTGTAGTAACAGGTGCTCACCAAGTAGAAAGTTTCTTCTCATTACCAGTGTTTGGAGGAGGATAGCTGTGGTAGCATAAATCTCAAGTAAAATCCAGAAGGATTCCACACTACAGATACAGAAAGGCCCCTCCAAAGTGGCTAGGGGACACTGCTGTCCTGTGCTCAGGCTGTATTCTGGTATACATTCAAGGAAATGCTTGTTCACACTTGGAAGGCATAGCTGAAAGGAACAGGCACTGGTCCAAGTCTGAGCGTGCCCAATTGGCAACAGGCATTACATGAGTCACCACACCCTGCCAACAACCCGCTATCAAGGGGTTGTTGAAGCTACCCAGCCTGGCATTGTGTCCTGAGGCAATGGTAGGCAGAGGCGGTACTAACAAGTGTGCAGTAGCACCCACCTTTTTATCCATATGGATATTCCAAGACACCCCCCCAGTAGATGCTGTAAACTTAGGGGTACCAAGTCGTCTATGTTATGTTTGTCACTGTATATGCACCTGTAGGTCTTAGCAACACTTTGCTTCACCGTCTCTGGCATCACTACTGTTGAAACACAAGAAGACTATAATAGGAAGTGGGTAAGCCAAGGGAATTCAGAACCAAGGCAGAGAATGGCAGTTATTAAGTTGGTTGGTTGGTTTGACAGCCTCATATAGCCCAGGCTGGCCTGAAACTGGCTGTGTAGCGGAGGATAACCTTGTATCCACTAGGTAGATATGCCCTGTTTATATGGTGCTGGGCTTTGTTAAGCAGGTACTCTGCCAACTCAGCTACATCTTGACACTCATTATGTAGCTTGACTAGTCTGGAACTTACTATGTAGACCAGGCTGGCCTCAAACTTGAGATCCACCTACCTCTTCCTCCCCAGTGCTGGGATAGAAGGCGTGCCCCACCACACCTGGCTGGTTTGTTTTTTGAGATGGGTTTCGCTGTGTAGCCAAGGCTGGCCAGACTTGAACTCTGAATCAGTTTTCCAAGGACTGGCCTTACATGAGTTACCATACCTGGCTAACAACACACAAATCTGAGTTATTTCTGGGATTTTCTTAATAACTTTGGACTGGATACCCGCAAGCATGGAAAGTCAGAGTGCCACTGTGCGCTGCTTTGGGTCTCCATCTGTCCTGAGATGGGCTGACTGCCACTTTTCACTTTCCCGTCCTCGACTGTGGGTTCCATGGCTGCTCTGGTAAAGATCTGCCCATGTTCCCTGCTGCCTTGCCAGCCTATTCAGGAAGAAAGGTGCCATCAGCACACGCCTCTGGCCTCAGCAGCTGGGGTCTAGCCTGCAGGACACAGGCCTGGGATTCTACATCAACCAAAAAGATCTCATTAGGTAAGCAGTCTCTTCCATGGCCGGTGTTTCCTACGTGACTGCCAGTGGAGCAGTGTGGCTGTCTTGGTACCCTACACACAACATCTGAGTAGAGTCAGACCCAGAACTCCGAATAAGGATGGGGTGGGACTATCGGGGGAGGCCTCTGAGAGGGCCATAGAGGTTCCGAGCTTTCTGTGTTATGGGCTGCAGAACAAGAGCAAAGTCCAGACTAGGTGGGGTAAATTTACCTGAATACTAGTGCAGAGGGCCAGAGGATACCGGAGAGAAAGGCGGGTGTCCATTCAGCTCACCACTGTGCCCGGAGGCCCCTTCACTGGCTATCTTATCAATGCTGGAAGAATTCTTGGTGAACCTATCTATGTCTTCTGGCATCAAATGTCCAACAGAACCGAAATCTGAGAGAAAGCACATCACTGTGTATTCTGTTGAAAAGCTGTTTCTACCTTAGGGATCCGTCTGGGCTGTGGGCCTCCAGGCCTATCCGAGTGTTGCAGGGATGGGGTGGCTTCAGGACTCTGGGTTCTGACTGTACAGAAGGAGATAGCAGCGGCCAAGAGAAGTAGAGCTCCTTCAGCATCTCCATCTGGGGAGGGGTAGGAGACAGAGGAGCTCTTCATTCTGGAGAATCGCCAGCCAGCATCCTGCCCAGGCCCTGAATAGGCAGGCTTCAGAGTAGATGCTGCCCCCATGTGTTAGAGTGATCAGAGCAGCCAGTGGAGTTTAACCACATCTCTACTCAAAACACACTAAGGCTGATCCTCTAAGGGAATCTAATGTAGATGCCTAGCCTGCCTGCTCACACTGCATCATCCTTGGAAGGCCGGTCCACCTTAAGCCACAGCGCCCAGGCGCTGGCAGGTGGGATTTCCCGCGGGTGGGGAGCATGCGCATCCTCCATTGTAGGCCTGGGCAGGGTACTGGCGCTTCCTTTAGGGCACCAGCCTTCTAAGGGCACTTCTCGGTCTCCTACTTACACATGTCCTCAGTCAAGCCTGCGGCCTGAGTCAGGACGCAGAGGAACTTGGTGGCCCAACTCTAGTGTCTGCAAGTTGGGTAAGGTTTTGATACCCACGATGCCCCTCCCTTGTGATAGCAATCTTCCCCCATACCCTAGTGACTGCCAGGGGCCTTCAGCCTGCCCCGGGACTGTGCTTGGGGAGCACATAGGCCCAAGAGGGGTATCGGGCTAGGGCTTGCAAGCAAGAAAACCCGGCTTCGCACGGTCCTGCAAGTACGGAAGGTCGCAGCGCGTGCGTGGAACGGCGGGCTGGCCGGCAAGACTAGTCGGCCGCCGGCGCTCCGCCCTCGGCCCGCCCCCGCCGCGGCCCCGCCGCCGAGTCCACCTTAAGGGGCGCGCTGACATCAGCGCGCCGCCGCCGCCCGTGGGGTGGGATTTCCTCCGCTGCTGCTGCCGCGGATCCTGCGCCGCGTCCAGCCCGCGAGTCCGACCCCGGCCCGACCCGGCCGGCCCCGCCTGCCCGGCCCCGGGGAGGGATGCGGCGGCGCGGCGCCCAGGATGCCCCGCAGCCCCGGGACGCGCCTCAAACCCGCCAAGTACATCCCGGTGGCCACGGCAGCTGCGCTGTTGGTTGGCTCCAGCACCCTCTTCTTCGTATTCACGTGAGTCGGCGCCGGGTCCAGAGCCTGGTGGCAGCGGGGGCCGAGTGGGTGCCCGTGCCCCACCGGGGCAGCGGCGGGCTGGGCGGATTCGTTCCGGGAGCGGGGACAGGTGAATGCCTGGCCCATCTGAGCGTTCTAGCAGGCCCTGGGTGTGGCTGCAGCCCTTCCTTCCCGCGGAGCTTTGGAGAGGGGGACGCGTGTCACCCGGAGTCACTAGCCCTCCCCGCTGGCACAGTGGGAGCTGTGAGCCCCCCCTTGTCGCGGCCAGCACGTAAAGCCAAGTTATTCCTGCGATTCCCGCGTAGGTGTGGGTTGCCCCACAGCCGCGGCTGGTCACTCCGGCCTGGCTAGGGCCCTCCTATCCTCCCTGAGCACAATACTGTTAGAGGTTACAGGCCAGGCTGCACCCAGGCTCCATACCTACACTTCCAGCCACGAGGGACCAAAAGACCTCAGAGACCAGTTGTGGGGAGGGAGCGCTCTTGCTAGCCCGGCATCCAGTGGCTCCAGCCTCAGTTTCTTGACACAGCTGGCTCACAGGTCGTGGGGCTTTCCCTAGTGGTCAGTCTTGAGGATCCCAGAGCCTTGACTCAGCCTTGGTGACCAGAGGGATGGCTATTTATTTCCAGGTGGGACAGTCCCAGATGTGAGTGTGCCTGGGGTGGACCTGAGCCACCCAAACCCTCAGCAGCATTTGTGGGAGCCTGTTGGGGGAAGAGAGTCCTTACCTGGAGGCTGGGGTTGGGTGGGTGCCACCGCCTGCAAAGAACGAGTTTAAAAAAAGGTCTGTGTGGACGGCTTATTTCTGGCTCAAGAGAGCCTGTGTGTTCTTGTCACTCAGATGTCATGGAGTTGGGACAGGAATGGGTGGTGGTAGGTGGGATTTCAGAACTAAGACTAGAGGGGACAATCTTGGAAAATCCGGTCCTCCAGAGGTTGGAGTTGGATTGTGTTTCAGTGGGTTGTCTCAGGTACAGGTCAGTGTCTTTTAACTTTAAGACATGAAATATGGGAGGAAACGTTTTAAGAGAAATGAAAGTCCTCTGCCCTGCTCTTCTGGACTCCTGTAGCTTCAGAGGGTCCTTCCATGGTAGTCTCTGAGGTTGCTACCGTTCTCCTGGGCAGTGCTTCCTCTGCTCTTGAAGCCCGAGCTCTGGGCCCATACCTGTTGGTGCTCTTAAGGTGTGGGACTCCCTTTAGGGGACAGCCCTTTACCCTGTGGGTAGCCCACTCTGGCTGGCCTTGCAGTTGGGAGAATGTGGTATGACTTGGGCACCTCTCAGGCTATGTGCAGCCTCAACTGTCCCTTGCGTGAATCCCCGAGGTATGGGCATGACTGGCTAGGACCTTACCTGTCCCACCATGGCTTTGCTGGGGAACTCCAGGTGGTTCTGTTCTCAGAAAGGGTTCTGTTGGTGAACTCTGCTGATTTTGAGTATGCCAGGGTCCAGGCAGGTGTGGTAGCCATACTGGGTTAGGTGTTTATTTCAGGATAGGATTGGTATCCTCTCGGTGCCTCCCTCCTGTCCTGTTTTTGCCCCAGCTCACTGACACCCCAGACACCAAGAAAAGGGAGAGTTCTCCAGCCTACCCTTGATGTCTGTCTAGGGTCCTGGGACCTTACCTGGAGGCTAGTGACCCTCATGTCTCCCCTTTGCACAACTGAGTGTGAACTGCTCCCCTCAGGGCACGGTTTACTTCCACGTCAGGGAGAAGTGGAGCCTGAGGACTGAAGGACCAGGGACTCCTCCCAAACTAGCTCACCGAGAGGGTAGGCCCAGCAGACATGCAGGTTTCTTTCTAGAATAGTCTAGCGGTAAGCAAGGTATGAGACATGAGACAGATCTCTGGAGGTAGGGTGTTAGAGTGAGGTGGGTTCTAAGGGTTCTAAGCCCCTTTTCCAGGAAGCCTCCTGGACTCCTGCTGGGGTGTCTCTCTCTCTCTATGGTACAGTGCCAAGCTGGGTTTGGTGCTGGGTGGGTCCAGAGGCTTCCTCCAGGCCAGACTGCCCCACGTTTAAAAGGACATGGATAATGGATGCCCCAGGGTGGGAATGGCTGTCAGGTGGCCAACCCTAGAGCTGTTAAGCCATTCGGGCACCTGGGGAGGGAGAGCTGGTTCTTAGGTGGACCTGAGTCCTCTGCGTGGTTAGAAGCCTAGTCTGGGAGAGCAGATGGTCCGGGTCTGGGCCCTTGGCAGCCTTGGGGGACTCAGGTACTGAGTGACTGGAGCACCATGGGAGGGGACCAGGTTGTCCTGCTTGTGATGGAAGCTACTGCTCTTCTGAGCTAGTTTCTCATCTATCCAAGTGTCTAGGGACTGCACAGGGGGGTGCAGCTGCTTCCTACTCCAAAGCCCTGGGATGTCCAGGGTGAGTGGCTGCTGTTGTGGCTCCTGGATACCCTCAGGCCAACGATGCTCTCAGACAGTGTTAATGAAGAACTTGATTAAAAGAAAATGCCTTGAGTAAAAATTTTCCATTCTACATTTAGCTTTGGCAGATATTCTGTCCCTGAAGTCACCCCCTTACTGGGCAATGTCTCTCTGCTCGCCTAGGCAGGGCTCTAGACCTCCGCCTGGGTGGGGCACATGGTGATGGCTTGTGTTTTTGCCTAAGTTACTGTTGCTCAGAGGGCATCTCAGACCTAGAGTTCTTGGAGCCCCAGAGCTAGGAACACACACACACGGACACACACCCCACAGAGACACAGAGAGAGACACGCACATACACAAATAGACACCCCGAGAGAGACCAACAAATGCACACACATACGGATACCCCCCACACAGAGACACACAGACGCTGTACACACACACACACACACACACACACACACACACACACACACACACACACACACACACACACACCCCAATCCCTAGTAGGGGAAAGGGTCCCTAGGGCTGTAGCAGATAGCGCCTTCCTATTCACTGAAAGCCAGATGTCCCACCTGCAGACAGGGCCTCTAGCTTGCCTGACTTTTTCTCACCCTCCTGAAAGTTCGGGACTCAAAGTAGTGCCTGCAGGGGTATGTGGGCTGTCTCCAGCTGGGACCTCTTGGAGCCAGCCAGGGTGGGGCTGGCCTGGTGTGTCTGGTAGGCCCAGACTGGATAGGATGGATTCCACAGGCAAGCACTGTAACTTGCTTGAGTAGAGGACTAAGCAAATAAATACCTAGTGCTCCTGCCTGCCGCGTCCTTCGGGGAAGCTGGCATGTGCTCAATCATTCCCCTGTCTGTGTGTGTCCTCACACACCCTTGCAGTCTTCAGCGGCGCTCGTGTGCTCGTGCTTGCCCAGAGAGGCAGAGAGCTTGCCTGAGTCCCAGAGTGGTGGGCAGCTGACCTCAGTTAGAGGGAGGAGGTAGAGGAGGACGGGTGCACACATGGTGTATTCATGTGTGCCCGTGCGGCAGTCTCTGGGTATGAGCAAATGTGCGGGCATGTCTGTCTATATGGCCTATATGGCATGTGTCTGTACGGCCCACGGTAAGTGTCTCCATGCGAGTCTTCCTGCATGTGCCTGTGTCTGTAGCTGCTTGTCGTTCACACACGTGGAATGGTTGTCTGTGCTTCCATGCATTTGTGAGCTGCAAATTCGTGCTTCCGTGTGCATACATATACATATCTCTGGGTGTGTCTTGGAGCATGCTTGTATTCACATGCACTTGTGTCCATGTTTCTGCATGTGCCAGTATGTGCTGTGCTCCTCACTACAATCCCTGACCCTGCTCTACGCTCAGGCTTTCTAGGTCTAGACCCTATCCAGTCCCTGATGGGGAGACCACCAGGCCTTTTTCCCTTAAGAGGGGCTACCTAGGCTAGAAGGCCTCCAGCAGCATCTAGAGAGGACAGATGCTTGGGCCTGGACCTGGGCCAAGCATTAGGGGCTTAGAAATCATGCAAGGACAGTGATTTAGTGACTTTCCAGCTCAGAGTGCACCAGACCTTCTGACCCCTGAGGCGCCACTGGCCCTGCTGTAGGTTTATGCAGGTGGTACAGAGACCACCCAGCACCTCACCACCAAATGCTCCCCCACTGGTGCAAATTGCCAAACACACTCAAGGGCTGCCTCTTTGCTCCTCGGGCATCTCACTCAGGGTAACTGTCTGGTCCACATGGCCTGCTAAGGAGCCTGAGACTCAAAGGGCAACAGAATATAGGCTGCCAGGCTGGTGGGGAACTCTTCTGCCCTGGGAACTAGGTAGGCCCTTTCTACTTCATGGGGAGTACATCCCTGAGGCTAGCCCAAGTGAAAGCCAGGAGTCAGCCTGGCTCCAATGCCTGTGGTCTTCAGCTTCTTGTTTATAAAGAGGGAGACTTCATGGCTAGGAACACCAAGGGCTTCATGCAGGACAATGTCTTGTAAGGACTGAACCGGTGTCTGGGCTTCCCACGTACACGCCTAGCTGCTTTTTACACACCTGTGTCTGCCCCCCCTTTACAGCTGCCCTGAGGCTCCTGGCCACTTCTGCAGGTGGCACTAGGGTTTAATGCTTTTGACTTTCTAACATGGAGCCCAAATTTTTCCTTCGTACCCATGTGGACCCAGCCCCTCCCATCGTGCACTGCAGGGAGCTGGTGTTTTCTAGCAGGTCAAGCTGGAGCGGACCCTGTGCTAGCAGGCTTGGCTGCTTCTCTCAGGGGTGTTTCCCCTGCCTACTGAGTCCTTCACCGCCTGACTGGCTATAACCTCAGTGCGCCACCGTTGCTTTGCTGGACAGTATGGGTTGGAGGTCACAGACAGTGCTGTCAGTGTTTCAGGCAGGGATGGGGAATATAGAGGTGGTGTATGAGGGGTGAACACTCCTGCTGGACCCTCATGGCTGTGGCCTGCATCTTCATGCTGTATGTCCATGCTGGCCCAGGGAAGAGGACAGGGTGTCATGGCTGGTGGCCCCATAGAGGGTGCTGCCGTGGGAAGCAGGAGCTTTAAATAGCCTCTTGCTTCCCACTAAAAATAGTTCTGCTGCCATGGAGGTGGTTGCTGGGGCGGCGGGCCTGGCTCCTGGCCAAGGCAGGCGTGGGCGCACAACGTGGACTGTGCACCCGGGTGGCGGGTAACTGCGAGCCCTATCCGCGGCCGCCATCACTCTGTCTTGTGGTTAGGCCAGCCATGAGGGAATCCCCACTGGCCTAGCTCCACAGAGGATCAGACACAGGCAAAGGGAGTAAAGCCCTGTGTTCCCACCCGTCTCAGCCCCCAGTGACACCGAAGGAAACACTGGGAGCCTGAGGCCAGAGGGGCCCACTGCAGGGTCAGACCTGGGGGCCACAGACCTGGCATGTCACTGTGGAGGGGATTCTATTAAGGCCCCATCAAGGCCAAGACGGGAGTGTTTGAGGGAGATGCACAAAGCCCCTGCAGAGAAGCTATAGAGCCTTCTGGAAGGCTTCCTGGAAGAGGTGGCAGCCTGGGTTCCAAGTGCTGTGGGATGGTCAGACATGGAAGGGTTGGGTCATGTGCTTTTCCAGTGTTTCTAGGTCTCCTATGCTGCCACCTGGTGAGCAAGGTGGCAGACCCAAAAGAAGGAACTGTCAGGACTAGGACTGTGCCCCGCCAGAAAAAGGAGGATGTCCCACAGCACTGGCTGAGGCAAGGATGTGGCTCTCCATACCACAGAAAGTCCCTCTGCTGCCGGGCGTTGGCGGCACACACCTTTAATCCCAGCACTCGGGAGGCAGAGGCGGGCAGATCTCTGTGAGTTCGATGCCAGCCTGGTCTACAGAAGGAGTTCCAGGACAGCCTCCAATACAGACAAACCCTGTCTCAAAAAACCAAAAAAAAAAAAAAAAAAGAGTAGAACGTCCCCCTGCTGAGGAGCCGCATAGAGACACCGCTCTGGCATGGCCTGACGTAAGCTGCTGGGGAGCTCGCTGGCCTCAGTTCTCAGTCCCTGTCTGGGTCTCTTAGGAATCTGGCAGCCCAGACAGGTTGCAGCTGGGTTGGTTGAGCTCTGTGGCCCTAGGCTGATGAGGACCTCTCCAGAGTCTGTCCCCAGCTGTGAATTGCGTTCTTGAGGTGACCCCGAGGGTTGCCAGGTTCAGAGCTTGGCATGGTGGAGACAGCCAAGGAGTAGTGATAGGCTAAGATCTGTTTATGTGACTGCCTGTGGCCCTGCTAGTGGCCCTAGTGGGCCCAGATGCTTACGTGTGGCTTGCCTTCCTGACCTTGCCTTCCTCATACCCTCAGACCCAGCTCTCTGCCTATGGTTCATTGCAGGTGCCCATGGTTGACAAGGGCGGTGTCTCCAGCTATTCCTGTCTACAATGGCATCCTCTTCCTCTTTGTCTTGGCCAACTTCAGTATGGCCACCTTCATGGACCCTGGAGTCTTCCCCCGAGGTAGGTCCCTGTACAGGGCAGCTTGCTGCTGCTTTTCACTGGAGTGTCATTGGCTGATCTGGGATTCCAAGTAGGTGGGCTGTGCAGAGAGTAGAGAGGTCCTCTCCTGCTAGGAAACTCACCTTCCTGTACTCTTGCCACCCTACTGGGCTCCTGATGTTTAGCGGATGAGGACGAGGACAAGGAGGATGACTTCCGGGCCCCACTGTACAAGAATGTGGATGTGCGGGGCATCCAGGTCCGCATGAAGTGGTGTGCAACATGCCACTTCTACCGTCCACCCCGATGCTCACACTGCAGCGTCTGTGACAACTGTGTGGAGGTGACCACCCCTGCCCCTTCCCCACCAGGCCCTGTGCCCAGTTCCTCCCCACCATAAGTTCTGACACACTGCCCCTGCCAGGACTTTGACCACCACTGCCCCTGGGTCAACAACTGCATCGGACGGCGCAACTACCGCTACTTCTTCCTGTTCCTGCTGTCACTCAGTGCACACATGGTGGGTGTGGTGGCCTTTGGCCTGGTCTACGTGCTCAACCACTCAGAGGGGCTGGGAGCTGCCCACACCACCATCACGTATCCTTGATCCTCACATGGTCCAGCCCAAGGCGTGTGTCCCAGGGGGTCAGTGGGTACTTGTCTCTTCCAGCAGAAGAGTCCCTGTGCCTAGGCGAGAGGGGACCACACTGTGTCACTGCAGTGGGGGGTGGGGCCCCTGTTTTCTTGCCTCAGCTGTTGGCCTTAACGGGCCAGCATGGCTGTCATGTGTGTGGCTGGCCTTTTCTTCATTCCTGTCATCGGCCTCACTGGCTTCCACGTGGTACTGGTCACGCGGGGGCGCACCACCAATGAGCAGGTGCAAACCCTGTGGGCTGGGCCTCAGGAACCCTCACGAGAGGCTACTTAGGCAGCTGTGGGAGGAGGGGCTCAGGGTGTGGGGCCATGGCTGCCATCCCTTGCACACTTGCCACCCATGGACATCGCAGCCACCAATAACTCTCAAGGCTGGAGATGCGTCAGCTTCCTGCAAGGACAGACAGATAGAACCTGGGTATAGGGCACTGCTGGGCCCACCGTGCCCACACTGCCTCTAATGAAGACTGCTTTTAGGGACCCCACCCACCTTTGCCTGTCTCTCTACCTGTCCTGGGTGGCCAGGCTGGCTGAGGGGTCCCATGCCCACAGGTGACTGGGAAGTTCCGCGGGGGTGTGAACCCCTTCACCCGAGGCTGCTATGGGAACGTGGAGCACGTGTTATGCAGTCCCCTGGCGCCCCGGTGAGGCCCGGCCTGGGCAGGGGGACAAGGAGGCCTGTTCTGGGTGTGGGGTGGGCAGCCTCAGACCCTCAGCCTGGTTCCGTTCTGCTCTGGCCAGGTGGGGTTGGCCTGCCCTTGTCTGTTCTGGCTACTGACCTCTCTGTCCTGGCACAGGTATGTGGTGGAGTCCCCGAGGATGCCGCTCTCAATAAGCCTAAAGCCACCCTTCCTGAGGCCTGAGCTCCTGGAACGAGCTGTGCCCCTCAAGGTCAAACTTAGTGACAATGGACTGAAAGCTGGCCGCAGCAAGGTGGGGGTTTGGACTGGAGCGGGGAGGGAATGAGAGAGGGGTGTCCGGGTGGGGGCAGAAAGAAGAGGTAGAGGCACTGGGCAAGTTTTGTGCATGTGTCTAGAGCCACAAGAAGATACTATTTAAAAAACGTAAACTTCCAGCCAGGCAGTGGCGCACACCTTTAATCCCAGCGCTCAGGTGGCAAACAGGTGGGATCTCTGAGAGTTCGAGACCAGCCTGGTCTACAAAGGGAGCTCCAGGACAGCCAGGACTGTTACACAGAGAAACCTATCTTGAAAAAACAAAACAAAAGCCACACTTCACCCACCACTGTTCCCTCTTCGCTAGTCCAAGGGCAGTCTGGACCAGCTGGATGAGAAGCCTCTGGACCTTGGACCTCCATTGCCCCCCAAGATAGAGGCTGGTACCTTTGGGAGAGACCTGCAGACCCCGAGACCTGGCAGTGCTGGTGAGGTGGAGGGCAGCTAAAGAGAGGGCCATGGACTGGCCTTCGTGTGACTCCCGCATGACTGTAATCCCTCTTCCTAGAGAGTGCCCTATCAGTACAGAGGACCAGCCCCCCAACACCTGCCATGTATAAGTTCCGGCCAGCTTTCTCCACTGGCCCCAAGACACCCTTTTGTGGACCTAGTGAACAGGTAAGACCAGGCTTTGCCTCTGGGAAGGGCCCCAACTCTGGAGACAGCCCTGCCTCTGGGAAGGCCCCATACCTGGGAGGGAGGGATCTGTCCCTGGGGAAGGTCTGTCCCTGGAGACAGCCTTGTTTGGCCATGGTGTCCTGTTCCCATTCCTGTTGTGCTCCTGACAAGGCCATACTTGTCACAGAGTTGTCATGTGCATGCTGGCAGGACTCCATCCTGTGGGCATGCTGAGCTGGGGTCCTTGGAGGGGGCATGTGAGGTCATCCTGGCTTGGTATCTGTTTCTCTGTTGGAATTGCCCATAGACCAGGTGGGCAGCCTCGCCCTCTAGCAGTTAGGATGTCTGGAATTCCACCATTAGTCACTCTGTAAGACCCACGGGAAGCCCTCAGAAGAACTGAAGGTTTGTTTGAGAAAGCACATTTATTTTCCTGAGTTAAGTACTTCTTTGTCTACCACTGTGGAACAGTCTGCAGCATGGAGCAGCCTGCGGAATGTTCCCAAGGCTGCCATCCCTCCTAGAGGTTGCCTGAGAGACTAGTTCCTCACATCTAGAGTGGCTCTACCCTGGAGGCCTCCTTGCCTATCTGGTCCATTGTGTGAGAGAGTGAGCCTGGGCCCCTATGGGCAAGGGTCCATTCTAGGGGCAGTGTGGTAGCCCTGTTGCCCTGCAGGAGGGCTGTGTAGGTGGAACAGTGGGCTTCAGACCCCCTTCCTGTGCCCACCAAGAAATCCACAAGGCTGCCTGAGTACACAGGTTTTGGGATCTGAGGGGCTTGTGGCTCAACCCTAGTCACAGAGACTGAAAAAGCCCTGTGCCTATGGCTGAGGCCACTCTAGGTTGGAGAGACCTAAGACCACAGACCTTGTCTGCAGAAACCAGCTCTGTCTTGCCTTCCACTAAAGAGCCCCACCTTGGTTGGTTGCCTTAGGAAGGGTCCATGTAGCCTGTCTTAGTGATTGTGGGTAGAGGCAAGCCCCACACCACCTCTCCTTGGGAGACAAACTCTAGGAATGTGCCGAGTCATCTGTTCCAACTCCTGTCCATAGTAGGCACGGGAGGGGTGTGTGTGTGTGTGTGTTGGGGGGGTTTGTTCTGTAGATTGTATTAGTTGTTCTTGCTTCCATGGCTGGTGTATTGAACTGCAGCTCAGAGTTTTTGGTGCTGTAAGGGGTGAGGGGTGGGCAATGGTGAGAGTGCCCTGTCCTCCTACAGGTCCCGGGCCCTGACTCCCTTACTCTGGCAGATGACAGCACTCACAGTCTAGACTTTGTGTCCGAGCCCAGCCTGGATCTCCCAGACCACGGGCCTGGTGGCCTGCATCCTACCTATCCCCCTTCCCCAACCCTCAATGCCACCGATGCCTTCTCAGGTGCCTTACGCTCCCTGAGTCTCAAGGCTGCCAGCCGGCGGGGTGGGGACCACATGACCCTGCAGCCGCTGCGCTCTGAAGGCGGGCCCCCCACACCCCACCGTGGTCTCTTTGCTCCTCATGCACTGCCCAACCGAAATGGCAGCCTGTCCTATGACAGCCTACTTAACCCTGGCTCACCCAGCGGCCATGCTTGTCCCACACACCCCTCGATTGGCATGGCCAGCTATCATTCACCCTACCTGCACCCTGGGCCATCAGATCCACCACGGCCCCCACCCCGCAGCTTCAGTCCTGTGCTGGGTCCCCGACCTAGGGAACCCTCTCCTGTGCGCTATGACAACCTGTCTCGGACCATCATGGCCTCCATCCAGGAGCGCAAGGACAGGGAAGAGCGTGAACGGCTGCTGCGCTCCCAGACTGACTCACTCTTTGGCGATTCTGGTGTCTATGATACACCCAGCTCCTACAGCCTGCAACAGGCCAATGTGTTAACAGAAGGTCCCCGTGGCTCTGGGCTGCGCTATGGCTCCAGGGATGATCTTGTGGCTGGGCCTGGCTTCGGTGGTGCCCGAAATCCTGCTTTGCAGACGTCAATGTCCTCACTGTCGAGCTCTATGAGTCGGGCACCACGGACATCTTCTTCCTCCCTGCAGGCTGACCAGGCCAACAACAATGCCCCAGGAACCCGGCCTGGCAGTGGTTCGCACAGGTCACCTGCCCATCAGGGCCTGCCTTCCCCACCAGGCACTCCCCGATCGCCCTCTTACACAGGCTCCAAGGCTGTCGCCTTCATCCACACGGACCTCCCAGACCGGGCACCCTCACTGGCTATGCAGAGGTGGGTACCCAGTCGTGTAGATGGGTTTCTCTATCTATGCAGGGCCCCTTATGACCTGGTTCTCCCAGATCTTCCTGGAGACCCGTGGTTGTCTGCAGGGACAGTGCAAGGTGGGTGGGCCCTACCTTGTCTTCAAGGCCCCTAGTTACCCTGTTGTGGAAAGTTTGGCTCTGGGTACAAAATGCATGTGGGAACAGACACATTTGCATGCTGAACAGTCACAGACTTGGCCCAGGGCCCTCCCTGGAGCCAGCCATACATGGCTCTGCAGACTCCTGCCTTCCCAGGGTCTTGATGTATGCTTGAGATGCTGAGAGTGAGGTATGTTGTCTCACCACAACTGATGCATACTTGAGCATGCAGCCCCAGGAAGCAGGGGGCCTCCAGGCATAAAAACGGGGAAGGGCAGGTGGGCCCCCGGCACCTGAGCATTGGTGAGGTCTGAGAGGAGACCCTGTTTAGGCTATGTGGCTACAAAGAACCCATGGGCACCCCTTCCTGTGCAGGAGCCTCTTTGGCTTTCTCAGGAGTGGTGAAATAGGGAAACCAGCTACAGGTCTCTCAGGAGGATAGGAGTGCTGCCCTTCTTCCTGAGACAGTGGGGAAGAGCTGGGAGTCCTCTACTGCGCTTCCCAATTTCAAGGCCAGTGGGCGGGGTAGGGCCAGAGACTCAGGCTAGCTGCTCTTTGTCTGATCCAACTGGGAGAGATCAAGGTACCCGTGAGGAAGACAGCAGTTCTGGCAATGTCTGTCTGTCCTGTGATAGCACAATCCTCTTAAGCACGAGGACTGCCTAGGTTCACATCTGCATGTGTCCTATTGCCCACTGTCCTGTGTTTACTGTGTGTGCATGTTTTGATGCAGGGATCACCCTCAGCTGAAGACCCCCCCAAGTAAGCTTAACGGGCAGTCCCCGGGCATGGCCCGTCTGGGGCCTGCTGCCAGCCCCATGGGGCCCAACGCCAGCCCTGCCCGGCACACGCTGGTTAAGAAGGTGTCCGGCGTGGGTGGGACTACGTACGAAATCTCGGTGTAAGGACTGAGCACCACTCATCTGCTGTGACCCCACGGGGACCAGGACCCCCACAGTAGCTCCCCCACCCCCATCAACTTCTCTGCCCCAGGGAGAGGAGGCCACCCAAGCCTGGTGTGGACACATCAACAGGAAAGGAAGCTCCGCCTCCACAGCTTGTGCTGCAGCCTCTGCCTGCCCGTCCACTGTCTACTCACAGGGCAGATGGACCCAAGGCTGTGATGGGGGCCTGGACTGCCTCCTCCATCAGCCCGTCTCAGCCCTGCACCCTATTGCCCTCAGTCCCCAAGGCCAGTCCCCAACGGTCCCATGGGCCGACTGCATCCTTTCCGGATGGGTTGCTGTAGCCCCATGCTCCCAGCTGCTCCTAATACATGGCCTTTCACTGACCTAGCTGGTAGCTTGTTGCTTGGCAAGGCCTGTGCTTTGCAGGGAGTGTAGCCCTGGCCTGCTCTGGGTTGTGATGGATGGATGGACAGATAATGTAGCTGTATCAGGGGTCCCAGCTCCCTGTGTTCCTGTCTCGCCTGGCTGGTGGGTTTATGTTCCTGTGTCTGTATGCTGTGCTGCCGTGCCGCGTCTCCTGTGTTAGTGCTCGGCTGCCACTGTTCTCTCATCAAAGCCTTAACTTCTGCTTTATGCTCTTGTGGGAGGTGATGGGGTGGTAGGCCAGAGCAGGGAGGGGCCAGATGCTGCCCCAGGGACTGGTGGGGCCTGGAGCGCCCGCCCTCCCTCCCAGGCCTTCCCTGCCAAACTGGAGAGTCCTCACCCCAAAGCATACAGAGTTCCCAGCACTGGCTTGACCAGTGCCGCTGGAAAGCACATCAGGGAGGGTCGGTTCTCCCCCTGGCGTCAGGGACCCGAGTAAGCACATGGCAGCGTCTGCTTGCATTGTCTGTTTTACGTTTTTATATTTACATCTATATATCTATAATTTTATTAAAAAAAGGAAAAATCATTTTGATCCTTTCCTTGGCAAGACTACGGCTGTGGATGCAGGGGAGGGTGTCAGGAAGGGGGTTGGCCAGCTGGCACAGGGTGGCACATTCCTCTTGGACATTTCTGATGACATGCCAAGTCAGGCCTAGTTGGTAACGGGCCTTCAGCTGGTAAGTGCACAGGTCTCTAACCCCCAGTCTGTCATGCCAGATGGCAGGGTGTGTGGTGAGAGCCGCAGCTGAGGCGGGTGCAGTGGGAGTGCACATGGGGCCCACGGACAGCTCTGCAGAAATGACTGTACTCTCCAGAGTTCACTCTTCCGTGCTGCATGCCAGGGAGGGATTGGAGAGTGCCAGGAAGCCACATTCTTCTGAGTTAGGGCTCAGAGCAGGACTTGGGGAGGGCTGGGCTAGGTCCAATATTTTGGGGAGGGATTTCCAGGGACTCGGGAGGTGTCCAGAACCTAGGGTCCCATAGCCGTACCCCAGCTGACCTCCGCCTTTTTGCTTCTCTCTCACGGACATCGGCCCACAGGGGGCGAATTGGCACCTGTAGTCGTGGATGGGGGTGGCGTGGTCCGCCTAGGGGGACTCCTGGCCTGCACCTGTGCCACCTTGGCCATCCCGAGGAACACCCGCCGCTGCGGGGCCCCTGGAGCGTGGCCGCTGGGGCGCCCCCCCGTGGGACCATTTGTCGGCTACACTCTGCTGCATCCAGCCTTTTCCCCAGCCTCTCGGGTCCCTAGCAGGACACCAGTAGGTGACTCGAGGGCCACGGACAAGCTGCTGGGGATTCAGAAGACCTTGCTGCTTTAGACTTAGAGTGGGGCTGGGTGTGGCCCAGGATCCCCATCCATTCCCTATCAACCAGCCACATCTTGACTGATCAGTCTGCCAGGGCCCATGGCCCTGTGTCCAGGTGACCTCAGGAAGTCCCCCCCACCTGCTGCAGGGGCTCAGTGCCCCACTGGGGGTGGCCCCAGAGCTACTGGGAACCAGCATGACGTTCACCCCAGCCTCCCTATTCCTTCCAAGCACTTTAAGCCACTTCCTCTGGGGAGCCCAGGCCTCTGTGGGTTGGACTGGGGTGGGGGTCTCAGGTCATTGCAGGTTACTGCACCCCTCCACTCTACCCCAAGCACACGAGCAGATGCCTTAAAGTCCTGGAGCTGCCAGCCAGCCTGAGGGGGCACTGACCTGGTCCATCCACCTCTGCCTCCTCCCTGCCTGACCCCACCTGGGCTGTTGTATTCAGGGGTGATACTCTAGGAACACCCCAGCCTGCAGGCCTGGGTGCCCCTAGAAGGGCAGAACAGAGCCCCTGCCAACCCCCAGTTTCGCACAGGGGCCCTGTCCTGGGATCCACTCCAGGGAGCAGCCCTGTGTCTCCCATTTGGGGACACAGAACCCACAAAGTTCTCTTCTGTCCTACAGGATTTCCCTCTTTCAACTACCCTAATAAATTTTTTTGTGTTTACCTCCATGGCACTATCCAGCAATGTGAATCCCCTTACTTTAGTCTTGGACAGTGCCAGGAGGCTGATCTGACAGGGACCTGGGATGAGGGGTTGATAGCCCTGACAGGGTTGACAAGGTGGGGTGGGTCAGTAGATTCAGAGCTCTGACGTCTGGGGTCCTCAGGAGGGCCTGGTCCAGGAGGTGAACCCCAAGGACTCCTGCAATTGCCTAACTATAGTCTTCTAGGGGAGACCAGCCTGCTGTACCCTCAAGCTCCAGGAGGCCTTTGTGTATGAATACCCTTGGGGGCAGATAGGAGCCAATACTGGGATCTGAGGCAGGGGCCCCAACACCAAAACTCAACTACCAGAGCAAGAGCGCTTCAGAAAGTTCCCAAACGTCTTCCCCCAATGCCCCAGTTTCCATGGAAACAAGCTTACATGCAAAGTGTGTCATGACTGTATGTCTAGCTGCAGGCCCAGCCCTCAGGACAAGCCCCGCCTCCACCCTTCTCTGCAGCTCCTGGTAGGTACTGTGTGCAGCAGTGCTGTAGGCAGGAACCAGTAAGGCCACTGGGTCCCCGGGGCAGCACCAGCCACCTGGCCTCCTCCTTGCTGGGGCCTCTGGGCCTCCGGCCTAGAAAGGCAGGAAGTCGTCCACCTCGAGGCGCAAGAAGGGGCCTAGTAGGGCCCTGAGCTTCCAGACGGCGGCTCGGCTCAGCAGGGGTGGCACCAGCCCCTCGAAGGGTGCAGGGTCCACCACGTACACGTAGGCCGCCGTGCAGGCCAGCAGAGCACCCAGCAGCAGCCTCAAGGCCAGCAGCCTGCAGGTGGTGGCAATTAAGGGGTAGGGAACGCCCATGGGGATGATCCTGGGGGGCTGGGCTGTGCCCAGAAAGTGACCTACCAGAGCTGGCCCTTTAGGCCCTCGGAACATCCCAGCTGTGGCCTGCCTTTCTGTCGGGGAGGGGACTGGGTCAGAACCTGTCCTCAGTACCTTGAGGGCCTTGGGGAAGGGCAGATCCTTAGATCTGAGGTGCCCACAGTATATACGGACCCTGCCCTTTCCCCCTCCCTTCCCAAGGACAGTCTTTTGCAACCCCCGCTCTAGGCCTGAGACCTGGTCTCTGAAGTTCCATTTCTCAGAGTCTCCCTAGCAGTACCCTGGGAGGGGCCTCTGGAATCTGGAAGGGATAGGGCAGGGACTCACCTCCATGCATGCCATTTGCTGCTGCTGCTGCTGCTGCTTCCTAGCCTGAGTGCGGCATTGAGCCCTCTCCCTGGGGGGATCACACTGTGAGGTCCACGCAGCCCTCGCCCCCAGCCTGGCACCACCTCTTCTGTGGGACTGGAGATAGTAACGGTCCACCCCATCCCGACCTGGTTCAGCCCGGGGTCCCTGCATCACCCCAGAATCTCAAGCTGAATGTCCTCCATCTGATCCAGCACACCCCGGATGTCCTTCTTGAGGTTCTAGGAGGCAGAGGAGGTGAAGCTGGCCCCCTGCCCCTCCTCTGTGCTGTACCCACCCCTCTCCTGGCCATCTTCCCTACCGTGGCCCTCTGATGACCTACCAGGAGCCCCGTGGCCTGGTTGTTCAGAGCCATGTGCACCTCAGCCACACCGTCCCACACCTGGGGGCAGGGAATGGGGACTGCATCACACTCAAGGACACAGCAGGGGCTCCCTCCCACCACCTGCCAGAGAGGCACCTCAGTAATGGCCATCTTCTTCCTCTCAAAGGACAGTCGGATCTGTTGCAGCTCACTCTGGGTGGGGAGGAACAATGTGGGCACAGGAACCTGCTCCCTGCTCCCCAGGCCAAGCCCCGCCCCCAGGGCCCACCTAAAGGACTCTTCCCCCCTGAAGAGCTCCTGCTGCTGCAACAGCTGCACAGGTACCCTGTCTTCCAGGGGCTGGGTGCTGGCTGACTCAGGGGACTGTGGGAAAGCCCCCGGGTCACACCCAAGGCTGTGGACAGCTCGAGGTGCTGCTGCATGGGTCCGGGGTTGCGCATTCCCGCTTACCCAGGCCAGGGATGTGCAGCTTGAGTGCTCGGCACACAGAGGCAGGAACTGCTGCCCTGGCCCCAGGAGGGCCCCCAGCTGCTCCCGGAGGTCCTGGTTTTGCCTTTTCTGGGGTCGAGGGACACAAAGAAGGGGTCACCTGCCCTGGTTGCTTCTCAGGCAGGAAAAAAGCAGATGAACTTGGGTAACTTGGGCAGGGGCTGTGAGGAGCATTGGCCCATGGGATGCACTCACCAGGCTGTGGTTCTCCTGCTCCAGCTGTAGAAAGGAGTGCTCGGCAACCCCCAGTGTCCCACTCTGGAGCTGCGTGGGAGCTGTCCTGGGTGAGGCTGTGGCCCCTCCTCCGGAAGGCAGGGTTGGACATGGGCAGGGCTTGGGTCCTGAGGTGGGGGATCCTGTCTGCCTAGGTGGCCCCTGTTCATGGCCTGGGTGCAGGGGCCAGCTCCATTCTACCTCGGCCTCTGCTTCTTGTCTGGACCCCGCTGGCTCTCGAGCTCTCTGTCTTGGCATATCTCCTTCTTCGCTTGACAAAAACATCCCAGGTGCCTCTCCTCCCACTCTGGTTCCCCCACCCCCTGTCCCTGGAGCAGGAAAAGGTCTGGAAGACTCTAATGACTGAGTGGATTGAAGGGGGGCCAGACAGGGCCACCTTACAAATCCCTGACAGGGCTGATCCAGGCATCCTCCATGATTGCTGGGAGCTGGGGCTGGGGGACACTGGGGATGAGAGTGTCCGCAGGGCCCCAGGGGTTTTGGCCCCTCCATCCCTCCCTGTGACCCCTTCCTGACCCAAGGTCCAGGCTCTGGCCTGGCTGACCTGCCACTCTCTTTGAGAGCACTTTAGATGTCACCTTGGTTCACAAGTCTACCCAGGGTGACAGTCACAAAGGCCTGGGTACAGTCATGGAGGTCACAATGGGCTGGGGCAGAGGCAAGGCTAGTGGCCACTCTTGCCTCAGCCCTGTTCTCCCTATCCCCAGAGCCCCCGGGACTATGTCTTTCCTCTGTGTGTGGAGGAATGTTCATGGTGCCCATTCATTCTCAGAAGGCTGGCTCTAGGACCCTGGGACCCTGGGAGAAATCAAGTGTGACAAAAATGGCAGATGTCCCCACACCAAGTTCAAGACCGTCTGTTATGTGTCCCTGTCAGGATTCAGCTGACTAAAGGTGGGTGAGCAAGAGCATCGAGACCCCGCCCCTTTGGTTATGCCCTCAGGTCCAGGCAGTTTGCCAATGGCCAGCTTCTGAGCCCAGGTGAAATCATAGTCATGTTCATGTCTATTTAAGAGTGGAGACAGCCGGCATGACTCCACGTGGGTCTCGAGGCGTCTTACCCGCTGGGGTTACACGGGACAGCCAGTCTGAGGGCGCCCTCTGCTTCCACTCCATGAGCTTGCACTCAGTCCTGAACCTTGAGGGCCCTCTCCAAGCCCAGAGGCCCTGACATTCATGCTGACAGATGTCCTGCTGCTCACAGTTCTGGGGGCTTGGTGGCCAAGTTGCATGTTTTTTATTAGCAGTACTGGGGATGCAGTCTAGGGTCTTGTGTGTACAAGGTAAACATTCCATCCTGGAGCTTCTCCCCAGCCTAGCTGCTTTATGTTTATCTTTCTTCTGTTTTGTTTTTGTTGTTTTTTTCTGAGACAGGGTGTCTCTGTGGCTTTGGAGCCTGTCCTGGAGCGTGCTCTGTAGTCCAGGCTGGCCTCAAACTCACAGAGATCCACCTACCTCTGCCTCCCGAGTGCTGGGATTAAAGGCGTGTGCCACCGACGCCCAGCCTTGGTTTTTCATTTTTAATAGTTAATGTATTTTTACTTATATGTATTGTGTGTATCTCTGTGTGTATTCAGATGCACTCGGGGCCAGAAGATAGTGCTGGGTCCCGTGACAGCACCGGGTCCCATGGAGTTCCAGGTGGTTGTGAGTCAGCAGCTGTGGGTGATGTGGAGTCTGATCTTCTGCAAGAGCTTTTAACTGCTGAGCCATCTCTGCCCCATGGATTTTCCGTCTTAGGGTAGAATGTCTCCTTGATTTAATCTCTTCTGCTTTCCTCACTTCCTTGGAACTCCCAGCAGACGTTGGATCTCTTCTGTGTGTCTTTAGTATTTGTATGTCAAATCCTTCAAGTCTTAGCTCTTCCTTTAAGACAAACACTTATTTTCTGTGTATATACATACATGTGATTTATCTGTATTTTCTGTGTATGCGCGTTTTGTCTGCTTCCATGTGTATCATATGCATGCCTTGTGTCCACAGAGCCAGAAAGTTCAGAGTCTCCCACTGGGACTTGGAGCACTGACTAGTCCAGGCTAGCTGACCAGTCAGCTCTGACCAGATCTGCCTTCTCAGACCACTGCGCTGGGATTAGTGTGGGCCGCCACCCCTGGACTCCTACAGGGCTCCTAGGGATCGCTTCAGGTCCTCAGGGTTCAGTGGCAAGCTCTTTCCTGGGCGCCAGCCCTCCTCTCCCACTTCCACAGACTTGGGTCGTTTAATGATGTGAGGGGTAAGCTCTGAGGAATTTGCCAGTAGATGACTTGGCATTCCAAAGTATGCCGTGTAAGCCTAGACGGTGCGGTTTCCTACACGTCCGGGCCATGTGGACCCGGGTGTGAAGAACCCATCGTTCCTCGAGTGTCGAGTAGGGCAGACTGAGACGGAGGAAAGAGCAGAGCAGAGCAAAGTGCTGAGATGTCAGAGACCATCACAGCAGAGCCCAGCTGTGTTTTCCAGTGAATCCCTTTAAAAAACACCAAGATCGCAGTAAAAAAACCAAAAGTCTCATGGTAAATGCATAAGAGAGCATCATAGCCATTTATTGCCATTTGCAGTGTTGGACACTGTACCTTGTTTTTTTTATTATACTATTTATTTTGAATTAAAACGAATCTTATTTTACATACCTATCCCAGTTCCCTCTCTCTCCCGTCCTCCCATGCCCCCCCCACAAACCCCCATCCCACCCCCAATCCACTCCTCAGAGAGGGTAGGGCCTCCCATGGGGGATCATCAATGTCTGTGACATCTCTTGGGGCAGGGCCTAGGCGCTCCTCCGTGTATTTAGGCTGAGAGAGCATCCCTCCATGGGGAATGGGTTCCCAAAGTCCGGGGCACTGTACCTTGTATGGGCTGCACTTTATTCAGCTGGCAGAGCTGTGGGTGTGTCCTTACCACTCCCACTACAAGCACAAGGGATATGTTTTGTCACAATGCCTACATCATAATTAGTTCATGTGAGTTTTTCAATACTACCAAAAGTTTTTAGTAGTGATGGAGATGGAACCTAGGGCTGGACATGATAGGCAAGCAACTACTATTGAGTTGCATTTACAGTCCTCATGCGAGCATAAGTGGGGGGTGTGTATGTATGTGTGTGGTGTGTGTGTGTGTGTGTGTGTTGTACAGGGTTTCTCTGTGTAGCTTTGTAGAGTAGGCTGGCCTCGAACTCACAGAGATCCTTTTGCCTCTGCCTCCCAAGCGCTGGGATTAAAGGTGAATGCCACCACTGCCCGGCAACAGTGGTCATATTTTTAATTCCTGAGGTGTTACTCCTAATCCCCGGAAGCCTTTTTTTCAGAGTGTCCTGTTCTCTCTTCAGGAAACAGTGGTTTTGGAGGAGAACACGATTTTTTTGCTGCCTACATTTTCTCTTTCTCCCTTATGGTTCTTTGATCCTGTTTTCCTTCATGTTTGGTCTTGAGACTTCTCATTAGACACTACTCTAATAAAAACCTGTCATTTTTCTTTTCTGTCTCTGTTTAAGAGGGAGTTGAGAAAGCTAATGGGTACTTTTTTCTATTAAATACAGGGATGGTAGAGGTCTAAGAAGGAAGGCCTCTTGCCACTCATCTTCCTGCTCCAGCCCCGATGTCCGGAATGAAGACTTAGACCTAGAGAGTTTGCCTAGAAAGTTCTGTCGGCAGTTGCCATAATCAGTACTGGAGTACAGGTTGCCTCCAGCCAGTTCCAGTTGTCTGCCTGAGTTAGCTCTGCATCCCATTTTAGTTTCCTGGCGTTCCCTACAGATGGTCCCTCTCCTGCTGTCTTGCAGACATGGAATGGATACCCACAAGAAGCCATTGAGACCCGTGGCAGAGGAAGAGGTATATGCCACAGTGACAGCTCAGGCTGGGCCCAGCTGGCCACACTGCATTTTCCCAGGATGGGACACATCTGTACACCCATAGCAACAGGCAGACACTGGCAATCGTGTGGTGGGAAGGGCCTGGAGTTGCCCCAGTGTGCCCTAAACTACTCAGAAGCTGTCCACTCAGGCCACTGCCTGTTCGCTACTCTCTGGGGTCTCATGGCTTCCAGGATACGCTGGTCTCGGATGGCATTTGTTGTGAAATGACTAGGGTAGGGGTGAAGGGCGGCACCAGCAAAGGCCCTGAGTATCTGCCATTGGTGGTGGTGGTCTGTGTTCTGTGTCTCCAGCCTGGTAAGTGTCCAGGGGATGTTCAGGGTCCCCAGAGGCTCCTGTCCTGTGTGACTCCAGTGGTCTCACACAGAGACTGTAGGCTAGGGCCCTCGGGTCTCAACTCCAGGTGCCCAGGTTGGACCACAGCTGCTGAGCAGCCGTGAGGTAGTACCCAGGGCACTTTAGATGCTCTTCTGCTCTCCTGTCTGAGACCCTAGGATGCCACCTCAATCTGGAACCCCGCCTTCTCTGATCACCTTACCTTTGCTTGGGCTGTACCCTATGTGGAAAGCCGCTTTCTTTCGGAGCCAGCCCTGAAGATGCCTCCCCTCTCTCCATGGTCCTTGTATGGTCTTGAGTTCCAGAGTGTCCCGGGAGGTGGGGGAATCTAGAAAGAGAGAAGAATCCTGGTTCTGCAGCATAGCTGGCTCCTGCTCAGAGCATCAGCTGTGCTAACGTGTTAAACAACTTGCAAACTGGTGTGTTGGGTTGGGGTGAGGGTCTGTGTGGAGCCCAGCTCCATGCAGGAGAAGGGTGGGGTCTGCATTGGGTGGGGTCCTGCATAGGTGCAGAGACTTAGCCACACAGAAGTGTGGGAAACAAAAGTGTGTTGTTAGGAGCTAGAGTGGCCCTGGCCCCTGTTGCTAGGCAGCACACTTCCCTGGACACCAGTTGCTATGGCAGCCGCTTCCTGCCCACGTTGCCATGACACCCAGATGGCCTTGAGGAGTCTGGAGTGGTGGTAAGGGGCTAGCTACTCAGACGCACTCACCCGCTCCTTGGCTGGGGCCTGGGGCAAGCTGAGGAGAGAAGAGGCAGGGAAAGGCCGTGCTGTCCACAGCTTCTTGCCTACAGCTGGCCTGGGATGAAGAGGGCGACACGTGGTCTGATTTTACTTAACTCACTGTGGCCTTGACATTCAGTGTCCCGTGTTCATTTCAGGGCCTAGCAAACCTCAAGTCACAGAACCAGCTGCATCCCTGAGGGGTCCCCATCTCTGTGCTTTTAACCCTGGCTTCTGGCCCAGACCCAGCCAGTCTGTCCTCTCCACTTGCAGCCTCAGAGTACTCTGCGTAGGACTGGAGGATCCTAGCGGACCCCAGATGAATGGACCCCGGGTTTTGCGGACATTCCTAGAGAGTCCTTGGAATTGTCCTCTGTCACTTGGGACTCAGGCCACTCCTTTTACTTCCCAGGACTAGGCGTGAACTCCCCTTTGGTCATTAGAGATGTAAGGTGACACTTGGCTGTGGCTCTGAGCCATGACCTTGGATCTCCCAGGTGTCCTTAGACTCATAGCCAGAGGGGCAGATGAGGGATGAAGTGGTCTGTATGACCAAGTCAT